GACCTCTTTAAGATATTCATTTCCGTAGTACATTATTTTTAAAACCACTTTTTAAAATCCTTTGCGTAGTTTGGAAGATATTAGCGTGAAAAGGGTGGAAAGCGATTTCATTTTATATTCTGTAAAGAAGATGCTCGTACGACTTACATATATTGTTCCGTAACGGTTTTAACCAATATTTTTACTTTGTAAGTATTCATCATAACTTTAAAACGAATTGACCGATTTCAACCAATTAAAAAAGTAATTTGCGCCTAAATATTTAACCTAAATTACTAATTGTTTTATTTAGATAAGAAATTTTAACATGATACTGATATAATCACTTTTTTATCCCTATTTTAGTTAACTAATTTCATTAAAAAATATTAATTATAGCGAAACTATAATATTTAGACCTCCTCGCGGATTTTTTGTGCATATTGTTAAAATATTAAAATACTTGTATTACCTAAGTTATTACATGTTTATCTATTGTCTGTAATACTCATTGACTAATTTCGCAGTCTAGTACACAGTGTCTAATTATTATTTAAGTCAATACATTTTTTATACAATGTTTTTCTTTCGATGTTTAATTATTTATCCTACTCTAACAGCTTTAACCGCTTTCTTTAAAAAAATATGACCTGCTACTGTAGCGCCTATTTTGACGGACACTTCATACACAGTGACGGTTCTCCTCCCATCTACCCTCCATAGTTGCCAGCAGGCCTACCATGACGTTTTATTGGTCTGTGAACTGAGTAGAACTGTATTTATTTAACTATGACCGAGAAATACAACACTTTGTTAACAGTTTGATCGATTAATATGCAATGATAAAGATTTACAGCCATTCTAAAAACTCAAATATCGCTTAAAATAATTTATTAATTCACTCTTGTACATTCATTCGGTAACGGTAACACTTTCTTTTAATTTTTTTTGTGATATCAGATTCAAATTGACAACAAAATAGCATTGTAGAAATCGCTTAATCAAAATAAGAATGGTTTTAAGAAATTTTAGATTTTAGAATTAGCACTTTTATCGCTTTTGTTTTTCATAAAAACAAAATAGATTTTGAATTTTGAATTTATACTTTCCTAAATGAAAATATCCATAAAAACCAATAAAAATAATTGCAATTTTACTGCAGTCAGTTTTTATAGATTTTCTTAATAATGGATTGAATAATCCCAAAATAAAAACGATTGGTGTAACACGTACCTACCATCTACTTTTATGAGAATCGGAACTGATAAGATCTAAAAATTTAAACGGTCATTTTGACCAAGGTGTAGTTTGTTAGTCAAAGTCAAAGTCAAAGTTTTTAAGACATGAAACCCTGCTAGGGCACAGCAATTTTGTTGGTATTAGGCGTTATCATGTATGTCATTAAATTAAAATATTTATACATTAAATTAAATTTCCAATTACATATATTATTATGTTACAATGAAGAATAACGTAACACTAATTATTTTTCCTATAAATGCAATTTATAAATTTAGTTCTATAGAATATTAGTTTTGCAAATCAATTTAAAATTCATTATCACAAACAACAGTATTTATTGTTATTATTATTGTGGCCTATCTTCAAAAAACTCTTGCAGAGAGTAGTATGCTTTTTGTGATAAGTAATTATTTAACTTTTTTTTAAATATGCTATCAGATTTTAAATCTTTAAGTGTCTGTGGTATTTTATTGTATATTTTTATACACATAACATACGGACCCGAATGGTAGATTGAGAGGTTGGATATTGGCAGTGCCAATCTGTCTTTATGTCGTAAGCTACGAGGTTGAGTGTAGTGGTCTTGGTTCGAAGGAAAAAGAGGCATGTGTTTGTTGACAAAGAGACATATTTCAAGAATGTAAAGGGATGTGAGTGTCAGTATACCATATTCAATGAAATGTGGTCTACAGCTTGCCATGCCATCTATGTTGGATAGGATTCGAATGCACTTTTTTTGAAGTTTGAATAGCTTGTCAGCGTCCACACTGTTTCCCCAGAGCACTATACCATAACGAATTGTTAAGTTAGGGCTTGTAGAGTTCGGAGACCCTGAAGGCCAGCAACGTCGCACTACTGCGACGACCGCAGCGAGAGCTGGCCAGTGGCTGGTAGCGCACGATCTCCTTTGAGGCGGCAAGTCTTCTGGCCGGAACTGACCTGGAGGCGAGGGCCCTTGCGGCTCTGTATCAGTGGCGCAAGGAGGCGCGGGAGTTGGGTCGGTGTCCTGAGTTTCGAGAAATCGAGGATCAGAAATCCCAACTCCGCCAGGTCGTAGTGGAGGAGTGGAAGTAACGACTTGGGCAACCGAGCGCTGGGCACGCCGCTATCGAGGCGGTAAGACCCGTTATGGAGGATTGGCTCGAGAGGCATCACGGGACCCTCTCATACCGGTTGACGCAGGTGATAACCGGGGATAGGTGAGGCCATCTGTCACCCTAGCAGAAGCAGGCCGGGGTGGTGGCGAGACGCGCTTCGAAGCGCGCGCGCCCCTTTCGGGAGCACAAAGAAGACATAGGGGTTCCCACACAGGAGGGGGTCATTTACGCAAGTAGATGGCCCGAGGTACGTCGGGGTTTCAGGGTTTTCCTTCCCAGGGTACACCTGGTTCCCCGGCAACTGGTACGGTATTTGGTCGGTTCAAGTCCGACATGACCACCGGTGGGTCGTATCCGAGAGGATTTCCGCACAGCCGAGCCATATGGCCCGTCTTGGCAACATTTTACATGAAAATGTTTTTGGTGGCATTTCACTTCTTTTGGTAAGTTGCTTATGACAATATACTATTTTTAACAAGGGGTCCCTATTATATCAACTTCCTACCCCTAGTTTAAGGGGTTTGGGGGTAAAAGTTCCAAGGTCCAAGTTTCAGATTTTTTTGTTGTTTGTGTACCAATACTAGCTTACATACGAAAATTCTTCTTCAGGAAGTACTCTAAGAATTTTGTTTTTTTAAGATATCAATGAAATCTATGTATAAGAGCTATGCAATTGAAACTTATGATCTATTCACATTCTGATTTCTCCTCGGTGTTGTTTTTTATGGCATTGGAAGGCAAACGAATGGATCACCTGATGGTAAGGAGGTAACTACCACCGCCCATGGGCACCTTTTTCTCATGAATTAAAAGTGCCTTACCTTCCTCCCAAGTGCTCCCTTCGAGTAATTCCTTTTAGAATCGGGGAGAGGACGGGTTTGGACTCCGGTAACCCCGCTCACTCGGTGAAAAGCAACGAAAGAAGTGCTTAACACAGGTTTTCTGTGAGGCCGTGGTATAACTCCAGTCGAGCCAGTCAATTTGTTTGTTGTCATGGCTCTCCCACTAAATCAATTGTTACAGCTTGTTGATTTCCTCAATAATATCAAACCTTGAGCCGGTTCGGCCTTTTGAAATACTGAACAAACACTTCCATTGTCTTAGTCACATTCTATATTGTGCGAATCTTGAAGCATCCGAGGTCGCGTTGTATCAGCTCTTTTCTTATTTTGTGATAGAGAAACAGTTTGAAGAATAAATAAAAGTTTGCGTCTAATAACCACGAAAAGTTAACTTAAACTTGACTTTTATATAATAAATAGGCACGTTGGCATAGGGTCGGGTTTTTTTATACATTCACATCTTTATCTCTGAAGAGGTAGATAGAGGTAGAGCGATAATTTTAGTTCCACTTACGTTATAAGGGGCAAGACAGTATTATTTTTTCAGCTTACTTTAAGTTTGTTTATTAATTAAAAAAATTAAAATCGCTCTCGCTAAATTAGTTTGAGCAGGCAACGCAACAAAAGTTTCGAAAAGAAACAGGTTATATTCCTTTTTTTTTATGTGCGGTCATCCCCTCGGATACCACCTACCGGTGATATCCGAGGGGATGTCCGATGATGACATCCGGTGGGCTATGTCATCATCGACATAGCCCACCGGATTAGCAAGCTGAGGTGGCAGTAGGTTGGCCATATTAGCCGCAGAAGCGACTACCTTTGGAGTAAACGAGTTCTTGAGTGGAGATGGCGTCTCAACAAATGTAGTATAGGACGCCCGTAGTATAGGTAGTAGGAAGCGGCGTGGCGACCGGTTAAACCACTACGCCATCCGTCATGGCCTCCTTCTTTTTCCTTCACATATTCCCAGTATGGTCCATTCTTCCTTTCCTGTTTAAGCTGTAACTCTTTGGAATATACTCCCACTAGAAATCAGGATGTCCATTAAACGATGCACTTTTAAGTTTAAAGTACGGAAGTTACACTTTAAGAGTTATTATATTATTTATGTATTATACGATAATTATTTTATTTTGATATTTATAATATAGTATGTATAAACTATATGTATGTATATCTAGTATCTATATATCTGTAGGTATTTTTTCTATTTTGTAACAGTCTTCAATTTAGTCTTATCCTTACATGTTCCAAGTATACACCTGCCACATACGTAGCTTTGCACCCGAAGGTTTGACTGAAAGAAAATGCTTGAGACATATATGTTTGCAGGTAGTCTAAATAAATAAATATTTTTTATTATTGTTTAGAAATAAATCATGTTTTAATTAAACCTTTAGCAACACCACTATGAAAAGCTTATCTAACTCGTATAACTTACTTTCTGGAAGATGCACGTAAAGTATGAAGTCAGACTACTTATCTCAAAAGTACAGACATCGGTTAGTTACAATTTTGTTACACAGGCATACTTACAGTTGAATACAGGAATACAGGATTACTGGTTAAGACAACCAGATACTTTAAAGTAAAGCGTTGTTATTGCCATCATTTCTGATATATTTCACTATGAAATACCATATCCCAATCCTAACCATTTTATTCTTTCTTTCGATTGAAGTGAATAGAAGTGTGACCCATCGATCATTCCGGACTATTCTTGAATATTGTGTGAACGTTTTTAAGTGTAGTGATAATAAAGTCTCTTTAGTCGTCAGAAGGCTTATTATTCCAAACGCAACCTAAACGTAATAACTGGTGTCAGAAGTGAAATTTATAAATGCCATTGACTTCAAGAGACGACACCAGCGAGGGAATTAAGACCAGGTCTGCAGGAGCAACGGGCACTGAGGAAGGTGCCTCCCCTATCGGTTCCGCCCACCAGACCAAGTTGACTTTGGATCAAGCTCCGGTTGGTCACACCCCTAAGGCCATGCCCACGTCAGACTTAGCAGACCTATCGAAGATGATTGTGGCTATACAAAGAGCTGTAGAAAATGGGCCGGAGCAGCTAGACAGTAAGTTTGCGGCTATACAAAATGGGCAGGAGCAGCTAGACAGCAAGTTTGCGGCTATACAAAAAGGGCAGGAGCAGCTAGACAGTAAGTTTGCGGCTATACAAAAAGGGCAGGAGCAGCTAGACAGTAAGTTTGCGGCTATACAAAATGGGCAGGAGCAGCGAGACAGCAAGTTTGCAGCTATACAAAATGGGCAGGACCACCTAGACAGCAAGTTTGCGGCTATACGAAATGGGCAGGAGCAGCTAGACAGGAAGTTTGCAGCTATACAAAATGGGCAGGAGCAGCTAGACAGCAAGTTTGCGGCTATACAAAATGGGCAGGAGCAGCTAGACAGTATGTTTGCGGCTATACAAAAAGGGCCGGAGCAGCTAGACACTAAGTTTGCGGATATGCAAAATTGGCAGGAGCAGCTAGACAGCAACTTGGTAGCTATACAAAAACAAAAAGGATGACCAACAATTGCTTTTATCCACCGTCAGCGAAGTGAGCGTTGCTGTAGATTAACTACATAAAGATGTGCGTTTAGAAAGCTCAGGTGTACCAACAGCTGTTTCAGGTGTAGTTGGCATAGTTCATGCACCCAGTGAGAAGGTCCCTTCTTATGATGGCAGTACTTCGTTGACCGCGTCAGCAGTTACTGCGCTACACTGTCGCTACTGAGAACGGGTGGACTGGTGAACACTGCCTGACTGCCCTCACTGTCACGCTTAGAGGGCAGGCGTTGACAGTCCTAGAGACACTGCCTAGCTCGGGCAGCGGATACAAAGAACTGTTGGAAGCGGTCGAATAGAGATATGGGGAACGCAAAAACTCGTACGGGAGAAAAACTTGTACGGAAAGCGTATCTTTCGGCCTACACGAAGATAATAATGTCAAACATCGTGCAGGCATTTGTGGACGGAATCAGAGACTTGGAGGTCAGAGCTGCAGTAAAGCTTCGCCACCACACCTCACTAAAGGAAGCACTGGCACACGCCCTTTAACTCGAAGCGGTTCGACAGCATGTTCGGTCACAAGCTACGTGAAGTCAAGGCTTCTTTTAAGAAGGGTCATGTGCTGCAGATGTGGCGAGAGAGGTCATCTGCAGTTTAATTGCCAACTAAAAAGTTTGCAGATGACAAGGCTAAAGAAAATGGAGAAACGTCTAGAGGAGTTGATAAAGAAGCGCGACGAGACCTCGACGTCCGCTGCAAAATCAGGGAAATGAGTAACAGCCAGGACTAGGGGGCGAGTACTGGCTGCCACGGATGAAGCCCCGTCGTGGATCATCTCACAGGCGTGCATTGGAAACAACCTTGTAATTCTGGGCAACATAAACCCAGTAGTAGTGGAAAGTCTCATGGGAACGCCGACGTACTGTCACTTAGACCATGCCCAGACTGTAAGCATTGTGTCAAGCAGGAATCAATAGCCTTGACGGTGAAGCGCACCAAGGTTACTTCTTTGGGACCCTGGAAAGATGAGACAATGAAGAAAGCACAGGGGGATGACGACCTATAGCAACGCATCACGTGGAAAGCACGAGGTGATGTTAAACCTGCTTGGAGTAATGTCTCATCTACAAGCGCTATCACCAAAGCTTATTGGGTACAATGGGATAGCTTAGTTCTACAGAACGAGATACTTTACCGAAAATGGGAGAAGATCAACGGCAAGGAGTTCCACCTGCAGATAGTTGTGGAAAGAGCTAAGGTGCCAGACGTCTTCCGTGGAGAACACGATAGAGTTTCAGGAGGCCACCTTGGCGACAAGAGGACACTAATAAAAGTGCGCGAAAGGTTCTACTGGCTTCATGGTCTGCAAGATGTACAAGACTGGTGGCGTAAATGTACTACTTGTACTGCTGTAAGAGGTCCACAGACGCTAAGCCGTTTGAACTTGCGCCTGTACAATGTTGGCGCACCATGGAAACGAATTGCTGTTGACATCGCACGACCGTTCCCTGTTAGTGAGTCGGGGAACAAGTACTTCATGGTCGTTATGAACTACTTAACCAAGTGGCCAGAAGTATTTGCCATACCTTATGAGGAAGCTAAAATGATCGCGAAGAAATTAGACGAAGAAGTCATTTGTCAGTTTAGCGTACCAGACAAGGGCAGGAACTTCGAGTCACAAGTGTTTCAAGAAGTATGTAGAATTTTGGGATTGCAATCGCATGGAACGATTTAATCAGACGAATCTGCCTAAATTAGTGGACACTCATCAGCATGACTGGGACAATTACATTCCCTTGTTCCTGCTCGACTACAGATCCGCGGAGCATGAAAGCACAAATGCGTGAATTTCGGTAGAGAACTTCGGATACCAATAGACCTACTTACGGGAAGGTCACCGGACGAACTTCACACAGTAACTGACCACGCATCTGATCTACGGGAAAAAATGCGAGAGATACACGCCGTGGTTCGGGAAAATGGTACACACGCGAAGGAGAATATGAAAACCAGATACGACTGGCGTGCAAATTCAAACGGATTTGAAGAAGGCACTGGTTTGGCTGCATAACCCGACCCGTATAAAAGGGAAGTCCCCTAAACTATAGACTAAGTGGGAGGGGCCGTACAAAGTGATTACCCGGATGAACGACGTGACCTACGGGATACAGCGAAAATAAGAGGAGCATTCAAAGTGGACCACTTCGACGGCTTGGCGAAATATTGTGGCAGCAATAGCGATGCTCGAGAAGAGTATCTCTAAGAGGCGGGCAGTGTCACGAAACATCGCAAAAGTTAGATTAACTAAATCAAATCCGGGAATCGTTTAATAATAATGCAGGTTGGCAGTGAACAATAAGTTTTATACCAATACGCATAAGATCGAAAATAGATGGTGGCGCGATTATCTTGTTTACATTTGAAATGAATCAACGTATAACCCGGTAGTACCAAGTTCAAAATTTGGCTTGTTTTTTTAGGACTCTCGTTTTCAATTTCCGACTAACTATTACTAACTGGACTTTGATTGGTGCTTCTGATACTGTTGAACATGATGGTTGAACGAGGAATATGTTAATTTTTTGGTTTTTACGGATATTGCTAATACGTATCCGCACGAGCTCGTGGGTGAATACATAACACGCTATTGAGTGTGATTGTGTTGGACGGAGCCTATCGACGACTTAGATCGATCGACCAGCACTATTTCAAGGCGACAATCTAATCTGGGTCGATCACGTTTCACTGATGAAGAAGACAACGAGATAGTACAGCGATTTAGATTTGATCCAACAACTTCAACCAATTTTGTTGAAGTGGAACACAGTGGAAAGTGTAGTATGCTGTCAATATTGCGGGCCTATACCCATATCATTCGCTATACGCCGCTAGTACAAGTTATTGAATAAGGAGATGCTTTGAAGAGGTTGGATTTCTGCAGATTAATGTTTAATGCAGATTTACGTAGAGGACCCGTTATTTTACTTCTGAGAGATTTCATCTACATGAATTCAAATTTGATAAAAACGGTAGAACCAACACAGCTTTAATTATTGGGCGCTAAAAGCACTAATAAATCTTAATATTACGCGGATAAAGGGGCACAAATACACTTCAGTTTGAATGTAGGTATAGATGCGTATTGTCAAACCACTCAATTAGATTTTTTTCTAACCCAGAACAGTACGAAAACTTTTTAGGTACGAAATTTAACTAACTTACTTCATGATTTACCATTTAATTTCATTCGTGGCATGTCGTTTTAACATGATCGTTGCCCTGCGCCTTACAGGGGAAGTGGGAGGGGAAGTTCGTATTATCAGTATCATAATCATTAATCCAGTTAGCAATAGTTAGTCACGAAAAGAAACACCAAAAATACAAGACAAGTTCTCAGCTAGGTACTACTGGGTTGTGCGCTAATTCTTAAAACTCCCGGTCTTTCATCTAAGTTTTTTCTATGAATTCTGATACTCTCCTTGACTATTACACCTTGTTAAATAGCTGACAATGCGTAAATGTGTAATGTGAATGGTAGTTCTAAGAAATTAGTATTAGGGATTAAAGTATGAAATTTGTACTGAAAAATTAAAACTCATTTTTTTCTAAGATGTAACATATTTATTTGATCAATAAACTTACCCTCATTATTTATACATTAGAAAATTGGCAAAATTACGAAAAAAATCGTAGGTTAGGGTAGGTTGACGTATCCAGACTGAACCGGGACCTACTAGAGGAGGCAGCCATAATTCACTCGTGGCTGTCTCCTCAGGCTCCGACCGAGGAGGTCGACGTGGGGGCTGGTCGCTTTCGCGATGCGATTACGCATATCTGCGATGCGGCCATGCCCCGCATTCGAGGTCGTCGGCCTCCAAGGAAGGAGGTCTACTGGTGGTCCCAGGAGCTGGCGGACCTCTGTGCGGCCTGTACACGTGCCCGGAGGTCCTACACGCGCAGTCGGCGGCGTCACCGTGGAGACGGTGAGGAGGACCGGCTTCATGAGGAGTACCGACAGGCGCGGAAAACTCTGAAGCTGGCCATTAGCCGCGCCAAAGAAGAAAAGAGACAGGAGATGCTGGAGGGTCTTAATCGTGACCCCTGGGGTCGCCCTTACCGCGCGGTGCGACAAAAGCTCCGCGCGTCGGGCCCCCCCTTACGGAGACTCTCCAGCCCAGCTTCCTGCGAGAAGTGGTTGAGGGCCTTTTCCCACAACGAGCGGAACACACTCCCCCGGCGATGGCCTCCTTGGCCGGAGACGACGGGGAGCACGGGGAGGATAATGTTCCGCCCGTCCGGGATTCGGAGGTAGGGGCGGCTGTTCTACGGATCCGTTCCAAGAACACCGCCCCTGGGCCAGACGGGGTACCAGCCCGAGTGCTGGCCCTGGCCCTCAACCACATGGCAGACCGCCTCGGGGAGGTGTTCGACGCTAGCTTGGCGTCGGGACGCTTCCCTGAGTGCTGGAAGAGCGGGAAGCTGGTCCTATTAAGGAAGCCGGGACGGCCTGCCGATTCGGTCGCGGCCTATAGGCCCATCGTGCTGCTGGACGAGGCGGGTAAATTGTTTGAGAGGGTTCTTTCTGCCCGCATCGTCCGGCACCTCTGCGAGGTGGGCCCCGATCTGTCGGACGCCCAATTTGGTTTTCGGGCGGGGCGTTCGACAGTCGACGCCGTGTTGCGCCTGAGGGCCGTGACCGAAGAGGCCGTGAGCTGTGGCGGCGTGCTGTTGGCGGTGTCATTAGACATCGCCAACGCATTCAATAGTTTGCCATTCAGCTGCATCAGGGAAGCACTCCACTATCATGGGGTGCCAAAGTACCTGAGTCGGCTAGTGGCAGACTATTTAGAGGAGCGTACCGTCGTGTACGAGGACCGAGAAGGTAATTTGAGGTGTCGGCCCATGTCGTGCGGTGTTCCGCAGGGGTCTGTTCTTGGACCCCTCTTGTGGAACATAGGGTACGACTGGGCCCTTCGCGCCGATTTCCCCCCCGGGCTGGGTGTAATCTGTTACGCAGACGATACCCTGGTGACAGCCCGGGGGGCAAACTTCCAAGAGGCGGCTCGCCTGGCCACAGGGGGAGTCTCCCTGGTGGTCGGGCGCATTGAGGCGCTGGGCTTACGGGTGGCCCTAGATAAGACGGAGGCCCTGTTATTTCATGGCCCCGTCGTGGTCCACCCCCTGGCGCCTCAATCGTGGTCAACTCGGTCCTCGTACCGGTTCGGCCCCAGATGAAATATCTGGGCCTGATCCTCGACGGGAGGTGGCTCTTCGACGAGCACTTCCGACAGCTTGCTCCAAAGCTGGTCGGCGCTGCGTCTGCCCTAGGGCGACTTTTGCCCAATATGGGTGGACCCAGCGTCGCGACAAGACGGCTGTACACGGGGGTTGTCCGGTCAATGGCACTGTACGGTGCACCGGTGTGGGCGGCGGCTCTGACAGCCCAGAATAGGGCACGCCTCTGGCGCCCTCAGAGGGTAATGGCGGTCAGAGCCATACGCGGTTACCGCACCGTTTCGACGGAGGTGGCATGCGCGTTGGCCGGAACTCCCCCGTGGGATTTGGAGGCGGAAGTGCTCGCCGAAGTTTATCGGCGAGTGGCTGACTCCCGGGCTGAGAGCGGATTTCGCCCTCCGCCCGAGGATGTGCGCGAGTGGCGCGAAGCCTCTCGCCGAGCCACGATGGCTCGTTGGTCGTTCCGGCTGGAGACTCCACGCGCTGGCTTCGCCGCCGTGGAGGCTCTCCAGCCGGTCATCGCCGAGTGGGCAGGGCGGCTTTCCTTCCGGCTGACTCAGGTGCTTTCCGGGCACGGTTGCTTCGGAAAGTACCTGCACTCGGTCGCTAGGAGGGAACTGAGTCCCGCCTGCCACCACTGCGACTGCAGTGAGGACTCGGCCCAGCACACGCTGGCGGTCTGCCCCGCATGGGCGGCGCAGCGCCGGGCCCTCACTGCAGTCATCGGAGTGGATCTCTCGCTACTGGCCGTAGTACGCTCCATGGCCGGTAGCGACAGTTGTTTTACCGCGGTCGCAACCTTCTGCGAGGTAGTAATCTTGCGGAAGGAGGCGGCGGAGAGGGCCTCACCGCCTCATGCCGCCCTGAGTGTGGCCGCGGGTGGACGGGGTGGGTTTCCCCTCCACCCGCATTAGTTTGGCAAGCCGCGAGGGGGCGGCGTCCGCGTGTGCCGGACGTCGCCTAAAGAGAGGAAAAATATTGAGACGGAGCCCGCACCAGGAGCGGGCTGGCGCTAGGAGGGGTCCGGATGTCTTAACAACAGCTGTTCCCGGATCCCTCCTGTTACAGGCGCAGAGTGGCACACCGTGTGGTTTTAGTCGGTCCGAGTCCGACACACCACCCCGCCACAAACCCCGGAGGGGTGACGGTCCGAGGGGATTTCCACACGTTAAAAAAAAAAAAAAGGTTGACGTATGGTTTCTAACTGCAGCTCCTGTAGAGTTGAGAGAGAGAGAGAGAGAGTCTGGCAGTGTAGGGTCTTGAGTTATCATGGAGCAATAATGGTGAAGATCGATCGACCAGACCCGAGAAAGCTGTAGTAAATAAAACCATGAAGAGGCCATCAAACAGTTACCATTACCGTTTTATTGTCAAGCTTTGCTTTAGGGCACTGTTGCAGCGTTCGACCTGGGGTCAGTCATTACATTTTTCGCTTAAGGTTATCGTAAACAATGTACTTTTCGTCACATGTCACAATTCGATCCAATATTCCTTCATTTCTGTACCGATTCAACAAGGCAACACAAGTTTAACACGCATTTTTTCTACAGATCAGTCAAATCGTTAGTCACCCGTCTTTCATATTTTTTCATCTTATTGATTTGATGCAAATTAATCAATATTGTAGGTAGGTTAACGTAAATCATGCCTCTAATTCCTGGGTGGTTTGACTCAGATCGGCCTCAACCATCCCCTTTAATTTAGTGTTATTCACCTGTGTGGGCGGTCTTTCACGTGGTGCGGTCTTCAAGTCGAAGTTTCTATTACGAAAGTGTTTCAACAAAAAACGCACGCTGCGTTCATTAGTAGTGCGTTCTCTCCAAACGCAGCGTTGATATTGCGAGCCGTTTCTGTCGCGTTAGTTCCGCGTCGGAACTCGTATTCAAAAATGAATCGGATTTTTGAAGTATCCATCTTTCACGTCTAAGCCAAGTAAAAAAAAACAATCGAAAGTTGAAAATCGAATGTTGCACATTTTTTTAAAGAATATGAATATTTATCATAAAAAGCACTAAGAAAAGCTATTTTGGTAAACGTAATTAAAAAAGTTAAACCTTATTATAAAGAACTTGATTGAATGATTCGGTTTATTTTACTCATTCGCTTTAAAGCAATGATAAAGAAGCTACTAAAAGTACACGTAATACACAGTGTAGAATCAATGTGTAGTGAAACGGGCTGATGCGGACGGGAGTCGTGGGGCGGCGGCGCGGTGGGCGGCGGCTGCGGCCGGCGCGGCAGTCGCACGCGGGCACGTGCGCGCACCGCCTCAGCGCCGCCCGAGCCGCCCGAGCCGTCGCTCTGCCAAGCGCCCTGTCAACCCGACACGCTCAATATTTCGGGATTGTTTCACCTCTATCACTAATATTTCATACAAAGTGTACGTTCCCTCGTTCACACCACAATGGTATTTCCTCACGGTTTTCTAATTTCGAGAATCTCATTCCGCGGATTAAATATTTATGGGTCAATAGACAATAGACAGAAGACTTGGAAATTGCTTACATCATCGACACTATAATTTAGGCGGGAAATATACATATGTATATAGTATACGGATTAATATTGAAATAACACCTAACAACCGTTTCAGTAATATCGACGACAAAGAAAACTATGGAATGTAGTGTTTTTACGAGTGTGGTTTACACAGTACTTTGTAGTATGTGTTACCACTATTCAGGGATTAAAATAAAGTTCAATGTATTTGTGTATTGCGTCTTTTCATGTAATTATATTCGAAGCACATATTTGTAACTGTTGATATATCTACTAACTGCATTGAGGTTAAGTCAACGCAAACATCATAAAGATTTTATGATAAAATCTTATATATATATATTATGTATATTGTTATGATTTTAGAGAAAATTTAATTATAAAAAAAATGATATCAAAGAAAACATGTATACGGCTTCGACATAAGTGAACAAGAATATTGATGCGTCTATGACAGTAGCGGCCGTTCGTATCGTCTATGTACATATATTAAATTAGTTTGACCCATCAGAAAGCTAGTGAGCTCTAAGTCAACAGTTTTAAGTATCCTTGTTTAAAACAAGGATACTTGTTTAAAACGATTTGAGAACTGTTTTAAGTTAGTACTTACAGGCTATATATATGTGTATATAAATGTAAAATATTCTTAAAGCGATTGTACGTATATAACGTATTTAAGGGCTGTGGTCTTTATCATTCTTTAAGTTCAGCTAACCCAATATATAAAGGGTAAAAAAACGGCGTGCGAGATCCATGGATCCCCGGTCGGAACGAAGTTCCTTTCGCTTTTTGGTAGACGTTTGCTATATATAAAATATGAAAAAGATGTGAGCGTCGACGCACCAACTGAGGTGTCGAAAAAATTATTGTTACACATTTTTAGGATTATTAACTGTGTTCCAAAATATAATTTCTTACTAAAATTTCTAATACGAGATGGGACACATTATCTTGAGAAATTATTGATTTGAGTCGGTTACTTTTTAAAGCTAACAGAGACACGAGTAGAAATTAAAAAGTGTTTAAAAAAACTCTGGTCGGAAAAAAATACATATTAAAATATATATATTTTTTAAACTAAATGGCAATCAAAATAAAGTATTATACGTCGTAACACAGGGTATCAAATGATGGCGACAACAGATTTTTAAATGAATAACTTAAACGAATGACCTACATGTGCATTAATAATTACGTTTATCAGCACAATATTGTATTTATATTTTCCATGAATTTTTTAATTATATTTTAACTAAACCTTCTCAAGTAACATACATACATACGTTTCGAAGTTTCAGTACAATTCTACGAAGTTAATGTAAGTTTAGGGGAAAGAAGGAAACTTTGATTGCTTCTCATTTGTTTATTTCATAATGATACGACTAATTAACCGTCAGTAAAACTCTGTACAGTGGAAAGGATGTTTTGGTATTGCACCTCTTTATCATGGTTGAATTGAAAAAAATCTGCATAGAACCTTTGTTTATCTTCTGAACATAATTATATTTATGAAGTAGGCATGTATGCAGATTTTGAATTGGTTTAGATAAATATTTTTTCCCTACTTTTTCTATATGCGTGAAATATATTTATATTTCTTATATATTTCTCTATATTATATTTTCCCAACAATTGTTTAAATTAGAACCGGACCCTCTGGACCCCCCGGAACGAAGTAGTATGGTACATAAAAATATCAGACATGTAATGTACGAACGGCGGCCTTATTGTTTAAAACAATCTCTTCCAGGCAACCTTATGATGGATTAAAATGTTTTGGAGAGACAGAAGTAGTTGAAGTTTCAATGAGTTTTGATAGGTTAATTACTAATGAACATAAAAGAGGTAAAATTAAATAAATATTATGGTACATTTAATCAATAAAAACCTATTTTAGCACAGATAAATAAATTTGAAAAATATTTTAATCTATCTATTGGGTGTACTGTGGACTGTTGTTTTCATTAAAATGCTAACCTTTTGTTGTCCATGACTGTTATTAAATAGTTTTTCATTATTTTATTGAAGTGGTACATGAAGGCTGTGGTTTCATCCTTTATTTTCAAAACACTAAAAAGTTATCGCTTTGAGTTTGGAGGAGAAAAGGCGTTGTTCCTTTTTAGTTCAAGTATCGATAGTCTAGAAAGAACTGCCTACGTATATTTTTTAAATCAGATATTTACAAACCTGGAACGTTTAAGATTTTGAAGAGAGAGAAACCCATTCTTCTAGAAAAGGTTTCTCTTGGTTAGCCATATACCATCTTCGTCTTCATACTCACTTTGAGTTGGAAGACAAACGCAGATAATATTATCTATTAAAAATGATTCTCCTGTGTACGTAAACGCTCTTTGTAATGAACAATAATATTCCTCTGACGCCTTCAGTCTCTAAACAAGGTTGTATATATGTCGTGTGTGTTATGAGTTTATCAGCATTTTTAGAATATTACATACCTAGGTGTAGATTTTCTGCAACTAGAAAATAACTTACTTACAATATCCAGGTAAAGACTATGTTTAACATATTTTATATGATACTTTTATGTAAAGGTATTAATTACAAGTACAAAAAGGTTATTAGACAAGGTTTTGAGGCCATATGCCTTTTATTTAAAATAGAGAACGCCCGCGTTAGGAACATATACTGTGTTTCGGGGGACTTTACAAACAAAAATGAAACGGACACAAATAACAGACTCAGAACAACAATTTGTGGATCACACAAAGTGTTGTCCTATGTGGGGATCGGACCCACCACACTCAGCGTAGTAGGAAGCAGCGAGGTGACCGCTTAAACCACTACGCAATCCGTACAGTCAAATTAATATTATTTAATAATAAACGTCCGTGTGATGACGGATTAAGAATACGGAGCGTCGCCACCCCCCCATTCCCCCATTCATCCCGTGGGTGTCGTAAGAGGCGACTAAGGGATCAAACTACGCAGGACAACAGCACTGCAAAGAGAAGGAAAACTTGACATAAACCCTATACCAACCCGTCTGGCCAGCGTGGCATAGTAGGCCAAAACCTCCTTTCTAAGGAGAGGCCTATGTCCAGCAGTGGACTATTAAAGGCTGTTGATGATGATGAATAATAAACGAAATATTTAAATGCTCCGTATCATTCTTCATTTAGATCGTGGTAGAAACAGATTGCTATTAAATGAAATGTATAAAGGAGCACGTACTTTGCTCTCATTTTACATATTTTGGTTCGTTATTACGCCCTCAGGGCTATTACGCCTGTTACGTCTAACGACATTAAGTTATTCGGAAGTTTCGCTTTGACTTAAGTAAATCGTTGATATTTCTGCTCATAATATTTCGCAACAGGTAAAATTTAATAGCATACGAAATAAATATTTTTGGTTACTTGGTAGTCTACAGTATTGGGTATTCTACCGATGCGTTGTTTGCGTTTTGTTAACTCTGAGCCTGCAGTGGGGGTGCTAGAGCTACACTCTTCAAGATAATGTATTATGTATTGATTAATTATTAGTAATAAAAGTTTTTAATCGTAGGAGAATCCTAAATTGGCTTGCTTAGTTGTTTTGATCTGATAGCATGATAGCAGTTGATATTTTCATATGGAATGAAAGAATATGAAGAAAAGAAGAATAACACTCCACAATATTAATATTATATAATAATTAATATTAATTTTATAACCTCGTCATCTCCTATGTAATTTCTATTAATTTTATAACCGAATTCAAAAACACAAAAGAAGGGATTATCAATTCGTCTGTATTTTTTTGTATGTTTGCTACGCGGTATCTCCGTCAATTCTAGACCACTTTTCAAGTTTTTCTTTGCAAACTTTTTAAAAATAAGATTCAAGTATATCATTTAAGTAACTTTAAGCTAAATCTTTCTGTGTGCACTAATCATATTCATATTTTATAAGTCATATACAATATTATAATGATAGACATTATCATTTGTTTCTAAAACCGAGAGGTCGTGTTTGATCCCTGGTCACAAATTATGCTAAAACGCGGCGGTAAACATCGTGGACTAATAGTGGGACGGTAACAAACGTTGCGATTAAACGATGTAACATCGTATATCAAGTAAGTATCTACAATATATCCAAGTGCTTCAAATACTTAAATACAAATAAAATATGGCGTTCGTTTGTCAACCTTTACCAATGAATGCGTATTTCACATAATAATATGTATACTTATGACCATAAAGTTATTGTAAACTTTAATATACATTTCAAAACTTCTTTTATAAGTACGAATAAATATAAAAAAAAGCAAACTATTTATTGATGTTAACTATTTTTACAAATCCTAATAGTGACATCAATTTTTAAAATATTTTATACATGTTACTTTGACAGGTATTTGTATAACATTAACGGTGACGTAAAGCGTTACGTTAATGTCTTATTGCTGTTATGAAGATAATTATGTAAAATTAATGTAAGTTTTAACATAAACAGAGCGTGTGTCTAACTTTAACGCTGAACGTTTGGCAATTAGTAGTATAATCGAAACAAATAGTTTTAGTTTCACGGTCATTTTACTTATCTTTTGTAACGATGGTCGATATTGAAATAAGTAAAAACTGAGAGTACGTGAAGCATTCCGTCCGTCAAAAGACGTTTAGGAAGAAACAAAAAGTGTTTGTTTCTGTACTGAACGTCTTTAGACGGCCCAGTTAATGAATGGATATCGGAACAATGTTTCAGCGTGTAATTTATTCATAACACAGGCGTCCTCGATCAAGCCGTCATGCTAACGGAAAGTCTCCGCCTGATGATATATCTCACGTTTACATGTAGGTATCGTATACACAACGTTCAAGTTCATACATCTCTGTCTTTATCACTAAATGGCTATTGATTGGTACACCTATTCGTTACGTAAATATTTAAGACATCACGAACAAAATTGACACGAAAAATAGATAAAAGCAGTCTTTGAACCAGTGAACTTTACATTTTTTTAGTTTTTGAAGCGTACACAAACCAATTTCACATTTATATTTATTATATATACATACGTATAGATGTATATTGAGTTTCCAGTTTATGGAATCAGTAATGTAATAGAATATGTAACTAAGAGTTTGTAGATAGGGTTTATATTAGTACATAAGTCATAGTGTACAATAAGCCTATATACCTATTATAAAACGAGTTAAAGCAAGTCTTTCATAACACGCAACGTTTACTGAACCACCAACGACACGAAAATTAAAATGTTCAAATAAAGGTCATTCAAAGATAATTTAATTAGTCTTTTTCTTCATTATAACTAACGCGCGAACTTTTCTAGGTGGCCTGACACCTGGTTCTAAACTAGCCTTTACTTTTCGTCATCTCGTGAGCTCACTTTTTTTTTCTCTTTATTTCAGACAAGGGATTTTTGTACATAAAAATGACTATGTCAATCCCATAGTACCTTATTCTAACAACTGCATAAAATTATTATAACTACTTAAAACTAAATTATAAAGCATTATAGCAGCCTCCGAAATTGGATCAGCTAAAATGCTTTGAAATATGCCAACATTGTTCTTTTGGGTTTCAATTGGGTTCTTTTATCGTCATACCGTACACATTCCTTAAGTATGTGATAAATGTCATCATGTTTGCCACATACATCACAATTGGGTGACTCAACCTTTTTCATTAGAAATCCGAAACTTCTACAAGGAATGTGACGGGAGTGTGAGTCCGCAACCTACATGCAGCAACAATTTGTTTCCTATTAAGCCTAAGAAATAAGAAATTTGTTCCTATGAACCATGGGATATGAAGAGGCTCACATTGAATACTTTTATACCACCCTTGACTTTTGAATGTTCATCAAAATATTCTTTAAATGTCATATGGGTTATTATTTAAAAAAAAAATTAGACCAAATTGGTAAAACGTTTACTTCTTCACCTTCTAATATCTGCAAAAATAGCTAGTTTACGGACTCCCAGATCAGATCCATAGCATAAAACCTTTAACACTGCAAATAATTCAGCAGTCATTATAGATATAAATTCATGGTTAATTTTGAATAATTTATTAGACCTAGTATTAGGATGCGCATTGGGACATTTGATTCTCTAGGTTGGGCACATCTTCTTAACATGTCTGTATTTCCAATATCCTGAACATTGCGTGACCGGAAAGACATAGCTCCACCTTGAACCGTCACCCGTATCCAAATAAATACGAGGGCAAAGTAGAACTTTTGAAGGCTAATCGGACAACAGTACTGTCTATCCACGTTCCGTCAGAATTTAGACGGTTGAGTCTCCTCATACCAACAATTTCATGTTCACAACTAAATTGCTGGAGTATTTCCTTTTCTTCAACATCCAAATCCACATCTTTAACAACACCATACGATAGGTTCACCTCATCGATACTTTGATAAACATACTCCAACTCCTTAAATTTCTGACATTTTAAGAGTTTCTCCGCATCTTCTTTGCTTTTGAAAATAATGTTAACTGTATATAGGCCCCTGTATTTAATTTTCAAAACGTTTTCAATATTTTCTGTTGTTAATAGTTTTGCCATGCCAAACTGCTTAGGCAAAATATGTTTAGAAGTTAACTTTACTGCGAACCCCTCTAAATTCCCGGTACCTCTTTCCATTGCCTCCCCGCTCTGGTTACTGTTAACGGAATAACTACGTAACAGCCGTTTTGATTTTCTAGTCACAGTAACAAAGCTGTCACAATCCTCTTCTCTGTCATTTTCTTCACTATTCTCCCTCAATCTCTTCTCCAGACCCTTTTGGACCTCATTTAACACTTTCTCATCCTGTTGCATACTTTCTCCATCTTCACGTGAAACTATCGTATCACAATTTGTCATACTTGAAGGTCGCATAAAACTAGCCATTATCACGGTTGAATGTCAACATGTGGGTAGTTCAGAAAAAATATTTCACGAGTAAATAGATGCTATGACGCAACTGAGCTGGCATATTTATATCATCCAATATCATCCACCACTTGTAAGAGTTTTATCTGATGGTATTTTTCTCCTGCATCTGCAAAAGATAAGTGATGTAGCTACCTACTTTGTAAATCAAAGTTCTCATCATTTCATTGGACTTTATTTTAAACATTACTATGTGCATTGATTTATTTTCTTTTTGATAACTATTCAAAAGATAACCTCGACAGACTTTTAAAATTTAACTTTAAAACTAAACTGAAAAAACGTAGATTTGTGTAGTATTGAACCCATCACGGTGAATTTCTAAACAGATACACATTATAGATAAATTATACACAGACGCAGAACCAATGATTGTGTTCATCACACAATGTTTGTCCTGGATGGGAATCGAAGTCACTAACTCTGGCTTAGAAATCAGGATCACTAACCACTAGAGCAACAGGGCCGTTGACCACCATTACTAGGACAACAGTTTTTAATTGTTTTTTGCAACACATTACATCAAATGTTGAAATACTAGTACATAATAAGAGTAAGTAAGTTACTAATAAAATATGATACACATATTTGATCCGACAATTAAGTCTATAATAACAATCAATTGTTATGTATATATTTGTTTTATTAAAAGTTGATAATATGATTTTTAGAATGTGTTCATTCACCAATGACTGTTTATCTAACTTAACTTAACTTAACTACAAAAAGAAAAGAAAAGGATGGACGAAGCGTCTACCGAACGTAATCGAGCTATTCGAATATAAGCAGTATTTTGTTTTATTCTCGATGAATTTCATTCTCCACACCCGATTTACGCTCGCTGTTCAGTTTATGACCCTATATTTCTTTCTATAGATCGTTCGAGATTTTAGTTGCAGAATTTTCGGGTAGCTTTTTTTTGCATCCTGCAGAAAAAAGCAGTAGCGCTTCAGTACTATCGACGGTGACTGTCGTTTATACTCCAAGATACTGGAACTATTTGCTTTGTGCTTGCCTCGGTAGAAGAAAAATAAACATGTTTGTAATTTTCTTTATTAAGTACTTACCTATTAATTATTTTCGTACAAAAGAACTGTTCTCTTTGTAAGGTAAGATATTGAAGAAGATCGGTACTCAAAAGTTATCCTTAATTTACAATAAAAAGCAGCCTAGGAATGAGCAGTATTCTAAAAGTTTTGTTAAAATGTTTCAGGCTGCCAATCTTGTTACGGAACAATACTTATAGATTTAAAGTATATATGTACATTACATGAACAGTCTTGTTCTTTTAGCTGAGTAGCTCGCTCATGTAGATGGATTTCATCTCACAGTCTGTTAAATAAGATTACATCAAAATCGATTAATACAACATTCCATATTTTTCTTTTAAAGTTCACAAGTACAAGCATCACATACATTTTCTTTTAATGGATGTTAGCTTTTAATGGATAGTTGAAAATAAACATGATGAAAAGATGCAGTAGTTTAAACTTCACAATGTTTCAATTAAAAAGTTCATGCATGAGTAATCACTAAAAGAAATGGAGAAATTAATGCAGACGTTGTGTAACAAATGTTCGTGTCGAATATGTTTAGTACCACCATGGGGTTTCAAAGATTTGGAAGAAGAAAAACTATACTCAGCATACACACAGCAGCAGAGACAAAAAGCTGTTCCTCATTTGCTTACGATCGGCGTACTTCTCCAGGCATTCGCTGTCGTCGTCCCTGGAGAACGAGATATGGCCTTTGCTTACATATCAATCATTTTAGCGTCGTTTGCTAACCTTACCCTCGTTATCGTTTACACGTTCTGCCGATCGACCCGACCCGTCCTAAATCACGTGGTATGGCTGGTGTTATGGATACAGCTTTTGGTGAGCGGATCACGTCGGCTCGGAGATTCATACAACGAGTTGCTTGGATGGGCAGTAGTACTTCAGTATTTCACTCTTGCCACTCTGCCATTACATTATCTAATACTGCTACTGTATAGTGCCCTTTCGTTTAGCGCTTATCTTCAGGTGCAATTCTACAATGCTTATTCCTCGGAAAGTAGGCTACCCGATGACTTCTATCTTCAGGTGGGTTGACTATGTGAGAACTAAGTATCAATATTTTACTCGTTAAATTTAAGCATGCCTAAACTTGCCTCATTTTTAACAGCAAATAGCAAATGGCGCACTGCTCATCGGAGCTACACTGTTGGGTGGAACAGCATATGCTATTAATGAAAAACAACAACGCAGCTCTTTTCGGGAAACAAAACGAAGTCTACGCGATAAATTGACAATTGAGCAACAGAGTAAAGAGCAGGTAATAAATTGTTGATCCAATAATGCCATAAATATATCAGTCAACTCTGTCTCTCGCTTTGCTAAGGAGGGAAGTGGATTTACTGTATTTCCAACTCCTACAATTTTCTTCTGATTAATTTCGTTGCGGGGTCCAAGACAGTTTAATTTCTTCCTGGGACTTCCCGAGTATCATAACTCGGTGTGTTCGTGGGTCACTGCTGTGGATCCTGGTGTACAGGAGTTAAATAGTGGTGGACGTGTGGGTGGGATTAGTCCCAATAAAAAAAAAATATCTGACACAAGGGTTGTACTCATTAGAGAAATCGATCAAAAGTATTTAAAAAATTGCTCAGATATATATGCCAGGCACAACTAATCACTACATATAACCTGATATTATATTTTGTTCGTCAAGATACTGTTTATTGGTTTGTACAAAACCTTAAGAAGTTTGCATGACTACTGTTACTTTGTCGCATGAGTTAGGTACTCTAATTTATAATTAAATGCTAAATTAGAATTATGTACATTGATTTCTAACGTTTTTAGGAGAGACTGTTACTGTCGGTGCTCCCGGAACATGTTGCCGTACAGATGCGAAAAGACCTAGGCCTAATCGACACTCAATTCAAAAAAATATACATGTCTCGTCATGAAAATGTTAGGTATGGCTATATGTATTTTTATATGATACTTAGAGTATTAATAACAATGATTAACATATTACTTGTTTTATCGCAGTATTTTGTATGCCGACATCGTTGGTTTTACGGCTATTTCCTCAACATATTCAGCCCAGGATCTTGTTGCAATATTAAATGAGCTATTTGCTCGTTTTGATCGTCTTGCTGAGGTAAATATATGCAAACATCTTATCCGATTCCATTCTCTGTAAAGCTATATCTCTATAAAGTATCTTGTATGTATGCATGTAATATTCTTTATTACCTCATATCTTCCAAACCGCTGCACGGATTTATTTAAGTAACATATCGTCTTGGTAACCCAAGTGTTCTTAGATCGGTGACGCAAAATAAAACCAACATGACGACTGTGAGACGCCACAGCTCAAAGTAAAAAATTTTTTTTTTTGATACTGCAATATGGGTATCAAATTAAAGGGCTCATCATGATGATTTTAAAAGGCATAAATGGCATATCATGGGCATATTTTAATTAGTTCATTACTTTTAAATTGTCTTTTTGCAGTCGGGTTTTTTATAATTTTAATTATGCAATTATATATTATGTGTTTTAAATGATTGAGATTTCGATAAAAGAATCAAGCTATAAAAGCTCACGCCCACTTATAATGAAAATGTTTATCTTAGGATATGAAAATATCGTTACAATTTAATAATTACCTTTTAAGACCTACCATACACAATTAATTTTATAGTTAAAAAAAACTAAAAAAAACACGCTAGATACAATAGCGTTTTTTTTTTTAACTTTAATTTATTGTTCCCTTTTCAGTCATTTATGCTGATTATTATCTTATTAAGACTAAAAAAGTAACAAGTAAGTTTATCACACATGCTTCAGCACACGCCTTAGTACGTTTCAAAAAACACTTGTGTATTTTCAGGCATCGAAAAATCCGTTAATACTGAAGGTCCTGATTAGGATAATGGGACAAACTATTTTAATTATTGTATTGTATTGATAAATGTACAAAGTTTCAATTTAATTCGACGTCTTGAAGTTGCTTATAATGACTGCTACACACATACCTATGTATATATATACATACCAAGCTGATAAAAACGTGATATTAAAGAACAGTCTAATTGAGAATTTAATCCTTTTTAAACCCGGTTAAATTACAATACCTTACACTATTTACAAAAACATTGTTTGTCAATAAACAAAGAAAATCGTCACTGCTATACGCAAATAATGCTCTTCCTTGAACGATGACAACTTTATTTACTCAAAGTTTCAAATTATTTTTTATTTCGGGTTGCTTCATTAGGCATTAAGTCCCGGTCTCAAATTTCTATGAAGCCATAAAGATTTAACATTATAAAGTTTTTAAAGTCAACGCAGTAGCTATCTTTGATACCTTGTAGCATGCTCTAAAATAATAAACAGAGCTTATTGCAGTTGTAGTCTAATGAGGAAAGTAGTTTTAAAAACACTCCTTCCGTCCTTCTCTGATGATTCACTTTATTTCACAGAAATATCAACAGTTACGGATCAAGATACTCGGTGATTGTTATTATTGTATCAGCGGTGCACCGGTAGAACGTCCAGATCATGCCGTTCTTTGTGTGCATATGGGACTATCTATGGTGAAAGCTATCAAGTAAGTTTGTCCTTATAAACATAATTTATAATAAGACGGTTTAATAACTTTTTAATATACAGATTATAAAAACAACAATTCTTCAAATCTTTTCGATTATTCTATTTACTTTAAATAAGTTTGTGTGACTCAAAAGTAAAAAAGATTTCTGTGAAAGAAAGGTTTAGTTTAATATATATTATAATCTCATCAAAAACATAACACGTAACAAAAATTAATTAGTTCATTAACAACATTTTATAATGATAATATTAAAACAGGTTAGTATAAGACAATTTTTTATCTATAATAAACATAATTAATCGGTTTCGGAACATAAATATGGCCAAAATACGGTAGAGAACAAAATTATCCACTCATTAGATCTTTATGTTTTCATTGTAAACGATCTCTAACTTGACTTGGTGAGACAAAGCCAGTCTTATTTACAGAGACAATTTTGTCGGTCTCCTGTGAGAGATCTGAAAATTCATCATCGAATCGCTTTAAAACAATTTTAAATGAACATAAGAATAAAAGACCTTCCATCGAGATCCAGTCTTCTAATGAGACAGATAAAAAAAAAACAGGGAAAAGACAGCCACAGTTCAATTTTTTAAAATGTTGTCAAAAAGATTAGGAAGAATTATTAAAAAAGTATAAAACTGAAGCGTGAGTGAAACAAGACAATGCAATTGTATTAATCGAAACAGAATGGAACTTTTACGAGGGCAAGAAATATTAAACAAAAAGAACAAATTTACAAGAATCACGAGTCAAGGATTTTACTTAATATTTTCGTTTCTACATATTTTTATATATACATGACTTTGCCTTTAACTTTTTCTGCATTCCCAAGGTTTGGCGACAGAAAACTCAGGTTTTAGGTAACTCAAAATTCGCATAATACATATATGACATTTAGTTGTTTTTACCCGAATGCCAAGGAAGGGTATGTTTAGGGCGCGTATCTTGTATGTTTGTTTCTAAATTTATTTAATACCGTATTTATTATCGTATCTATACCGTTCTATATTATTATCTTCCAAATGGCTAGATGAATTTCTATAATTAAGATATTGATTTATTCATCTCAAAAACTCAAGTATCCTTAGGCATCCTTTTTTCCGTAAATCCCGGCAATCCCGTAAATTCCGGTAATCCCCTCGGATATCACCTATCGGTGGCATGTCGGACTCGAACCGACTAAAACCGCACGCCGTCTCGGGTACTAATAGCCGGGGAATCAGGTATACCCTAGAAAGGAAGTCCCTGGTGCCCCGACATACCTCGGGCCATCTACAACAACAGGTAGACGACCCCCCCAATCCTTAGGCTACCTAACGGTGGAAGGAATGGTATTTATAAGTACTATTTTACTAGAGAGTGGATGAGTCATTTGTTCCGTCGCAAGGCACGTAAATGAGTGTGACAGTGAAATAAAGTTTGAAACCAAAACCTCTTAGTTATGAGGCATTACTTTGACAGAAGCAAGTGCATATTGGCTGATTTTGTGGAACCCGGCTAAATCCAGACGTTTGTTTGAAATTTAGCAGATAGGTCTCATGTGTATAGAAAAGACAGAGCATACTCTTACGAAGTTAATGTGATGAATATCCACAAGTCCATAAAACTACAAATATACCCTATTAGTTTAAGTAATATAGGTATAGACATCATATGTGTGAAACTACTTATTTTTAGTAGATTAGTAAATGTTGCATCACAATAGATCGGTGATGATGCATCACACCAACTAGTCTTACATTACCAATCAACGTGGAAGTCTTTCAAAACTACATGATAAGACAAGACAAGACAATACGAATAATACAAAAACGTGACGAGTTATGACTGTTGCACCACAATCTTCTTTTTTTACCAACGGCATAGCTTATTTTAAAATAAAAATTGTTCTATATTAATTAGTTTAGGGTACGATAAGGTTATAAGCCTTTAAATTAATAAAAAAAGGAAAATATTAATGTCGATCCTCTCGGGGCTTGGTATAAATATACAGCAATTTTTTTTTGGATTCCAAAACACATAATTATCATCATCATTACCATAACATACATATGTATATCTTTTATAAAGCGCGAACGTATAGTCTCCTCACACTGGCATTTACTTTGAAATAATATGTTATTTTAGACTATATGGGATAAAAACTGCAGGAATATAAATCTAGAAAATAACAACAAACAATAACTCAAATTGTTTAGATACGTACAACAGACGACCAATTCGCCTGTGGATATGCGCGTGGGGATCCATACGGGTGCAGTATTAGCAGGTGTGCTTGGCCAAAGACAGTGGCAATTCGATGTCTACTCAAGAGATGTTGAACTTGCCAACAAAATGGAAAGCAGTGGGAAGGCCGGGTAAGCAAAAGCTAAAGTGTTTTAAACGTTTCACAAAAAGTCACATATATTTATGACAATGGCAATTGTTTTTTGCCAAAAATCTAAGTAGTTATGTTTTGTAACTGCCGTCGTTCCCGGGATTACTTGAACATTTTGGAGATGATATGATGGTTTTCTGAACAGTTGTATTTGAAAATTCACGGTACTTATACTGCGAACATAGTCTGACAATAACCTCGGAAAATGTATGCTACTTTTTTGACTTTATGCAGTCATTGTAGTAAGTAAAGTAGTAAAGTAAAAAAAAAATCTAGTGTTAAACGTCTTTCTGGGACTACACAGAGATGACGTGTTGGTTTATTCCTCAGATGTGTAAAAAGTTCAATCTATTTTAAGTCGTATATATTTGTGTATGTACACATTCTATTAATAAAGGTTGTTCACAGACGCGTTCATGTCTCTGAAGTTACCCTGAGTTTCCTAAATAACGAGTTTGAAGTGGAACCAGCGCATGGTGAACGCCGCGAAGAAATGTTGCGGCAAGCCGGGATTAAGACTTACTTTATTGTTCGAGTTCTGAAACCTGTAAGTACTTTTTCTCATTCTTTTAATTGATACGTGCTCCTAAAATAAATACATGTATACTTTCAAAATTGAGTTCAATAGATGGTATTATCTGAAAAAAGAAACTCCCTAGTGTTTGTTTCACGCACATAGACAGATATAGTTGTCATCATGCGGTATACAAATTTTATTAATATATAATTAATAATAACAATAACTATGGTACGGTATGAATCAGACTACTGATAAACATATTTTATTGATAAATTATACCCAGATCAGACACAAAACAAATAATCGTCCTCTTATCTGAAACCAATTAATAATTGAATATAAATGTCTTAACTTTAAATTACAATAAACAAGTAATTCTTACGAATATAATGTACATTTTATGGGTAAATCATGGATTCACATTTTGTTGATTTTATATTTACATGATATAAAATAAACAAAATAAGAATCCAATAATCTAACCCCATGTTACATCTATACCTTATAGAGTATAGATTATCTGGGATCTTAAACTGCGAGCAGATAAGGTTATCGCAATAAAGATCACTAAATCCAAATTCTCATCATAAGGATCATTGAGCGGCAAGGTAATTAGTCCAAAACCACAATATCAGTAATAATAGATAGAACCCGATATAATGTGGCTCAATCAGATTCAGCTCAACAAATTCCGAAGTAGCAAATGTAATTTGGTACTTCGGAATTCACCAGATTCTATTAAGGGTAAGTTGTTGGCGTAACATTGTAGAAACTAAGTTGCGAATAATACACAGACAGTTGTCAACCATAATATCTTTCAAAATAAACGGCCGATAATAATCGGATAAAACAGCTTTATCCATAAACCAAAGACAAAACCATCACTAAACCGTAGTAAAGAAGTCGATGTTTAAAGTCTTTGTCGGGCTTATTTAGAGTTGTATAAAACTGTCCAGGAAGCTATTCGTCCTTCTAAACTTCCGTGCGATCATTAGTAAGTCTACAGGTTTGCGCCAATTCTCTGCGGCAAGAGCGGAGTCAGACCGATGTCTGTTGCAAATACATTTTACGCACTCTCATATCAGTATTAAGAAAAAATCTCTGTAGTTAACTTGAGATATCTTAAGACTGTACGGATCTTAATGATTAAGAAATCACGACTTACATACATTAGCGGGATATTTAATTTTCATATTTCACAAGCAGTGTACGAGCGCACTGTTAAGTTAACTATTATATTAAGAATTATTTCAAAATAAATCCCACCTCTGCTCAAATAATGTCACAATTTTATTAAAATAATCTAGGTGTTGATTTTTTTTCTTCTTTTTGCCAGTCTTAGTTTAAAAATAAAAATAACGATTTTCAGCAAATTAAACACTTTATTTGGAACCAATTTCGTAGCCCAAGGTAAGCAAATTTGATTTGTTGATTTATTAATACAAAGTGTCCCAAAATCATACAAGTCAAAACAAATCCTTATATCCGTTTTTAAACATTGAAATATTATATTAACAAGTTTTATATATAAATAAGACATATATATTTGGCAATTTAATCACTCAGTCATCAAGACGCTTACCTACTTCTTTACACATTAAGGGAAGCAAAGTAATTTACCGAAATCATAAATAGTTTACGTGCGCGTACATTATTAGATTACAAATATTTTCGTTGCGTTTCCATTAGTAAATTGTAGGTGTGTATATCGTGGAAGGGCGCCCGGCGGACTCGCCGTCCGACTACCGGCCCATAGTGTTGCTTGACGAGGTGTGCAAGCTCTTTGAAAGAGTGATTGCAAGGCGTCTCGTCAAGCATCTCGTGATGGTTGGGCCGGATCTGGCGGACAGCCAGTACGGTTTCCGTCAGGGGCGCTCCACCGTGGATGCGATCATGCGCGTGAAGGCTCTGGCGGAGGAAGCAGTCTCCCGGGGCGAAGTGGTGTTGGCGGTGTCCTTGGACATCGCCAACGCGTTCAACACTATGCCCTGGAGCTGCATCCGGGAGGCGCTCGTGTATCACGAAGTGCCTCTCTACCTCCGCCGCATAGTCGGGGCATATTTGTCGGAGAGAGCCGTCGTCTACCCCAGTAGGACCGGTCTCGGTAGGCGTGAAATGTCGTGCGGTGTTCCGCAGGGGTCGGTGTTAGGGCCACTCTTGTGGAACATCGGCTACGACTGGGTGCTTCGTGGTGCCTTCTTGGATGGTGTCGCCGTCGTGTGCTACGCGGACGACACACTCGTGACGGCGCGCGGCAAGACGCACCAAGAGGCAACCCTGAGGGCCACGGCCGGGGTTGCCCAAGTCGTTGAGCGTTTCCGGCGGCTGGGTCTCGAGGTGGCTCTGCACAAGTCCGAGGCCCTGTTCTTCCACGGGCTTCGGAGGAAGCCGCCTGAGGGATCTAGCCTCACGGTAGGAGGCACTCGCATCGGCATCGAGCCCTCGATCAGGTATCTGGGGCTCGTACTCGATGGCCGATGGGACTTTGGATATCATTTCCGAGGTCTGGTCCCCAAGTTGGTTGGGGCAGCGCGTGCATTGGCGCGGCTGCTGCCCAACATGAAGGGACCCGATGACTCCTGCAGGAGACTGTACTCGGGGGTTGTGCGGTCCATGGCCCTTTACGGGTGCCCAGTATGGGCGGGGGCCCTGAAGGCCAGCAACGTCGCGATACTGCGACGACCGCAGCGAATGCTGGCCATCAGGATCATAAGGGGGTACCGCACGATCTCCTTTGAGGCGGCGAGTCTCCTGGCCGGAACTCCACCATGGGACCTGGAGGCGAGAGCCCTTGCGGCTCTGTATCAGTGGCGCAAGGAGGCGCAGGAGTTGGGTCGATGCCCCGAGATTCGAGAAATCGATGACCGGAAATCCCAACTCCGCCAGGTCATCATAGGGGAGTGGAGGGAACGACTCGGGCAACCGAGCGCCGGGCACGCCGTCATCGCGGCGGTAAGACCCGTTATGCCAAGTCCTCACTGCAATCGCAGTGGTGACAACCGGGGCTCAATTCTATCCTAGAGACCGAGTGCAGGTACTTCCCGAAGCAGCCGTGCCCGGAAAGGACCTGCGTCAGTCGGAAGGAAAGGTTCCCGTGCTGCCGCTTTGCCCACCCGACGATGACCGGCTGGAGCACCTCCACGGTGGCAAAGCCAGCAAGTTTAGACTCCAGCAGGGAAGACCCACGAGCCTCACACCATTCGCGTATCTCTTGGGTAAGGGCCGTATGCCGCTATCCGCCCGGAACCCAGCCGTCCGCCGATATAGTGAGCACTTCCGCTTAAAAATCCCACGGGGGTGTTCCGGCCAATGAGCACGCCGCCTCCGTTGAAACTCTAACCGGCAATATCCTCTGAGGGCGCCAAAGGCGTGCCCTATTCTGAGCAGTCAGAGCCACCGCCCATACTGGTACACCGTACAGTGCCATTGACTGAACAACCCCGGTTTACAGCCGTCTCGTTGCGACGCTGGGTCCATCCAGATTGGGCAAAAGTCGCCAAAGGGCAGACGCAGTGCCGACCAGCTTTGGAGCAAGCTGTTGGAAGTGCTCCTCGAAGAGCCACCTCCCGTCGAGGGTCCTCGTACCGGTTCAGGCCCAGATGAAATATCTGGGCCTGAACCGAGTTGACCACGATTGAGGCACCGGGGGATGGACCACGACGAGGCCCATGGAATAAGAGGGCCTCCGTCTTATCCAGGGCCACCCGTAAGCCCAGCGCCTCAATGCACCCGACCACCAGAGAGACTCCCCTGGTGGCCACACACGCCGACTCTTGAAAGTTCGCCGCCTGGGCTGTGACCAAAGTCTCGCGTAACAAATTACACCTAGCCTAGGGGGAAAGTCAATTCGAATGGCCCAGTCGTACCTTATGTACCACAGGAGGGGTCCAAGAACTTCCTAAATGAAATTCCTATTCTTCTTTTCGGTCTTTCCTTCGTTTATTGTTTCTTTATTAATTTTAATATTATCCATAGCTAATCCCAAGAGTGGAGGAGAAATAAAGGTCAACCTGGGCAGAGATCCCCCAATACCCGGGCAAGCGTAGATTTATACCCAACCGAGGGGTCCACAGGTGCCCCGGTGACTGAACTACCCATCAGCCATGCATCCCCTGACCACGCACTAGAACACGGGATTCGGAGTAATTTTTTAGAGAGGTTTCCTTCCTCGCAGTGAGCATCAGCAGCAGACCCTCGCCCTCGATGAGAGTCGCGAGACATAATCACGACACTCCTACCGGGATTACGATGTGAAAATGGCGGAATGGAGACACAATTCCCATTGCCCTCTAGATGGCAGAGTAAGTGCTCTTTGAACCCGTCGTCATTCCTCCACTTCGGACAATGGAGCAACTATCGGTGACCCAAGAAGGGCCCTATCCTACTTAGTCTGGAGTCTCCCTATGAGTCAATCCGTCATGAGTGACTCTACCGGTATAGCCTCAGAGATCACAAGCCCCCCCAGACGACAACGTAATCACTGTAGTCTATGTTGAGCTTAACCATTTATGTATATATCAAGATAAAACATCAGGGGTCGAATAACAAAGAATAAGAGTCCAACACAATAAATTTGCCAAAGGATTATTTATTATCTAAATTAAAAAAGTGAAGTTTGAAGGAAATAATAAAGATGTAACTTAAGTCCAGCAAGAGTCAAATATTTACACCATGCCCAAAGAAAGATATCGTTTTACCTGTTTTATAAAATTAATACGGACTTTAGGTAACATCTATCTGTCTATGTCGTTGACAGACCAAGGACATTGTCTACCAACAGATATGAGGTCAGGGACTTGATTTTTGTTAGTAGACTATCTATAGTATATATTTTTTTTCTTACAAGTTAGACTTAGTGAAAGCCAAGGCTTTATAAAACACACTTTATGTTCATATTCATCTTATGGATATGGCGCATTATTCATCCTATCGTTTCCGTATCCGTATCCGTGGAATAGAAAAGCTTCGACAAATTACGAGCAGTTTTTATGAAAATCATAAAAAAAACTATTAAATAAGCTGTGTTGGTCCTCAAGTTGCATATTTAAGCATTCAATTTGCTTTGGAATGTAGTTACTTCGAGGCTGTTAAGTTCAACGTTAACAGTTTCTTGACTGTCCTTATGACAATTTGATATTAGTCTGTTTGAATAGATAAGTAATCTCAGTACATTATGGTTGAATTGATGAGAACTGAGAACTGGTACTGACGCAAAAAATAGATAAAAACAATCTTTGGAGCGAGTTGTATATCGTGTCAAAATATGAGTTCAATCGATGTTGAACTTCTAGAGTTTTTAAAGCGTACACAAACCAACTTAACATATATATTATATATTTACACAAACACACATATATATATATATATATATATATGTGTGTAAATAAAAGGCAAGGCTAAGTTGGATCTGTACTTATTTATTTACTTCATGTAGTATGAATATAAAACAGTATATGATTTTTCAGTAGACATGAGGCTAGTACCTCACACATGCAATAAATAAAAAGTTTTTTTAATCTGATTTACGTCTAAATAGGTAGATAGCTGCGATCAAATTTACTACATTTACTAAATTTACTACATTTATTACATGCTATTTTTTACATTTTGATTTACATGTAAAAATATAATGTTTCATAGCAAATATTCTATTTTTCATGTAGTGGTCGGGAAGTAGTGAAGAGAAGAGTGCACCCGAAGGCGAGGCCGCGGAGGATGGTGACGACGGCGACGCGCTCTCCGACCTACGAGACGACGACGAGGACTCAGTGAGTGCACAACTGCGCTTCCCTCCTCCCTCCCTCTGCCGACCCCACGCCTCCTACGCGTCGTGCGCCACCAGTCTAAATAAATAGGACACTAGGGCACTAGGCGGCCCGTGCTCGATAGTTCCTAGTTTAGTGATGTAGGTTAAAATAATTTCAAACAAATCGATTATTCATTATTTACTTAACGTTCGGACATTGGATTGTTTACGCTATATTTGTACTTGAACGCGAATCTTAAGCTCTTATATTGATTTTCCGCTTGTCAATTACATAGACATGCTTGGTAAATTATTCGTAGGTTCTGTCGCCACAAGACGAGAGCAAGGACAACGGAGAACAGAAAATTCTAAACATGTTACAAGAGGAACTCGTCAATAGAGACGATGACAAGTAAGTTCACAACGATTACAACATATCCTTATTTTTCTGTGCCTGAACTCCTCTTAAACGGATGGACCGATTTTGATAAAAAAAAATTGTGTGTGTTTCACCTGGATTGGAAAATGGTTTAAATTCGCAATTTGGTCACAATATATTACTGTTTATTATACAGTATTTGTATCAGAATCCTGGCCCAAGCCATGCTTGTCCGCAGTAACGTACGTGTTACCAGGCTTTCAGCTGGTAAGGAATGATAGTATTTGTGGACGTGGCGGTGGAGTTGCCATGTATATTCGATCCCAAATTCTTTTCTCCATAGTAAATATGTCATCTCAGCCCCACCCACAAATGCTGTCAAGCACTTTTTTTTTTTTTTTTTTTTTTTTTTATTTCTAAAAGGTACACTTACAGATTACTGCCATTACATGTTACAGGAAACAGATGATAGATACATATAAAGTCTAGACAGTAATCCAAATGTAGCATACACAACATGAAAAGGCAAAATACAAGGCATATGGCAAATACAAATGCTAGCCACGCTTAATCATCACCAACACTACTCAAGTTCATGTATCCACAACATAAGTAAAATTAAAATTAAAAACTAAATTATTAACAAAAAATAATTTAGTTTACTAACTTATTCATTGAAATCTTACTCCAAAACACAAAACTATTTCTCGGTGTATATTAGAGTCCTTCCCTTCGAGTAGACTATTTTTCTTCACTTAAAGTACTGTTGGAAAACTTAACCCCTTCGTACAGTAATACTATAGTCATGGGTGAATTTAACACATGTTTACTGAAAAACGATTCTCGTTCTGCCATCCTTCGATCTATTATTGAATCCAGTAATCTTTCCATTCTAACACTAAATCCTTCACATAATTTACCAAACCGTTATTCATCTCTCCTCGACCTCATACTTGTATCTTCTACGGAGCACGTCGCCAAAAATGGCCAGTGCTCTGCAGATTCTTTTTTCTATCACGATCTTCTCTTTCTGTCCTACCTCATTCGTACTCCTAAACCTAAAATCATTTCACACCGTGATTTTCACACAATTAATGTCGAAAGTCTTCGCAGAGATGCCGATATGCCGAGCATTGACTGGGGTCCGCTTTTTAACTATCACCTTTAGTGGGTTAATGAAAAAAATAACTACTTCACAAATAATCAAGTTTTCTTATGTGACAAGCATGCGCCGATACGAAAAATAAAGGTAAAACATCTCCCTGCTCCTTGGCTTACTAAAGATATAGAGGAGGTACAGAGAAAGAAAGTAAGGGCTAAATCTAAGTATAAGAGACACCCTACAGCATCAAACTGGGCAATTTTACTTATTAGAAATCACTGCAATAAGATGTGTAGGAATGCTTAGCACCAACATATTCACAAATCTGTTGAAGATTGTGATCCGGTTAAGGTCTAAAACTTTTTAAGCCGCTGGAGATCGGCAAGTCACGTCCTCATTGTGCTTCAAAAGATATTGATATTGATTCCCTGAATTCGTACTTTTTAGCTTCACCTAATTCAAAACGGAGGAGCTACCAAGACTGCGACACTAAATTATCTTTCTTCTTTGCCGACTCCTAACTGTTCCCCATTCTTTTTCAGTCAATTTGCTGCATGTGATGTAAGGAAGAGCATAATGTCAATATCTTTCAATGCCGTAAGAAGCGATAGCATCAGCCGTAATATGGTTCTTCCTATTCTGGATGAAATCCTACCTGTAATGTGCCATATTCTCAATTATTCCATATCTGTCAACGCTTGCCCATCTGCATGAAGAATGGCTCAAATTATTCCTCTCCCCGAAAAATGTAATCCGTCCTCCGTCAGATTACCGTCCTATATCTAACCTTCGTTTTTTCTCCAAAGTTCTCGAGCGTCTCATTTACACATAGCTCATTTCTCTCAAGAAATTTCCTCCTTAATCCTTTCCAGTCAGGTTTCCGTCCGTTCCGTCCAGGCCATAGCACTACCACAGCTCTTTTTTTTGCTTTACTAGACTTCACTGTGGATTTTAATGTTTTGTTGGGTATATTGTGTTTGTATTAAAAATGTGTACTCCTCTTGGCGCACAACATCACCGTTACTTTTTGCAGTTTTTATTAACTCAAGCACAAAAATCAATTACTTTCTTCCTACCAACTTTATGCAGATGATCTCTAAATTTACTCACACGCTACTCCAGATAATCTAACAGAAACAGTGGATACCATTAACAGACACTTAGTGCAAATATGTAACTGGAGAATGGAGTACGGACTAAATGAAAACACTACTAAAACACAAGTCATTTTAGTAGGAAGGCCCAGGCTGCACTGCCAAATAAACTTTCAGCAGATACCACTTATTGCCTGCAACGGTTCGGTTGTCCCATTTAGTGAAAAAAGAAAAAACCTGGGGATCTATATGGATACCTATCCTGGGGCCCTCAGATTGGAGAAGTTAGCCGCAAACTATTTACAGTAGTGGGGTCTCTGCGAAGGCTACGGAACTTCCTTCCCACCACTACTAAAATTGGGCTCGCACAATCTCTTCTTCTTCCCATCCTTGACTACGGCGATTTCACCTACCTGAATCTCACCGAAGACCAACTGAACAAACTTGAGCGATTTCAAAACCTCTATATTAGATTCATATTTGGATTACGCAATAATGTGTTACGTGTATATATACTACCCTAAACTATGAAATACCTAAAATCCGTATTAAGGTTGTCTGGAAGACATCACTGTGACCGATAAGACTGCCCATTGTTACGTCTACTTATTTGTAACTCATCTTTTGTTATTTTCTTTTTGAGTGTTTACAATACAGATATAAATAAATAAAATAATCAAACTTTACTATCCTAAGATTATATATCATCAGCATTTAGTGTTAAGGACACAGGACAGGAGAACACAGAACGTGGACTCTTCACTAACTATGACCAAAAATAAAAAGGGGAGTAGAAAAGTTAATCATTATGACCTAGTGACTGAATAAGCGTAATTCTGTTAAAAAAGTATTCGACATTGCTAATGAATCAATATTGCAGCGTATGAATAAGACAATATTTTGTCAACTTAATTTATATGTTATTATAAGCTATGTTGTTTTATTTTATTTATTTATAAATTTTTGTTAATTTATATTTAATACGATTCTCTGATTTAGCTTTTCTAAGTATTCACTAACTTTTTCTAATTATAATTAATAAATATATTGCAAAATTTTAGAAAATACATTAGTTAAAGATATATTCACATTAGTTAAAGATATATTATACATATTTTGTAGCATATTCCATGTATATTAACTGCTTCGTCTGTTTAATGTGCTAATCAATATATATTTAGTAGATTTTACGATATGCTCGCAATAATTATTTGTTTGTTTTATTGGCCTAAATTACTGAGTGCTTGAAATAACCAAATTATACATAAAAGTGTACTTACTCTGTTTTATTTTACATGTGCCCTGTTATGCGAAGGACATGACCATCTCGAGTAAATGGGAGCATAATTAAGACAACTGTGTGACGATTAGCATGGCCATTTTTCTAGTACTCGCTCGTAAACCCAAATAGATTAACTATCACAGTCATTGCATTTGCACCCTTAGTTGCGCTGCGAAGTTTATCGTTCCAATTCACATACGAACTTGGGTGCTGTAGTATAGTTTATTTGCTATCAGCTAATTAAATGGCTTAAAGAACGGAATCTCCTTATCTATGAAACTGAACTGTGATCTCATAACGACTGTTCTATGTTGAACGATGACTGAAATATAAATTTAACAAGGGCGGACGACCAAAGATTCTGTGTTGATTTGTAGCTGTTTATAGAAGCACCTTGAAAAATAGATTGTGAAGATCAAACCGTTCAGATACAGCGTACTTTCAAAACAATATGCTTAAAATAGCATACGTCTCTAATGAAACCGTGTCAATAAACACATACTATTTCATTCTTTAGCTAGGTATGCAGTTTTTTCTATTTTCTTCTGACGATCCGTTTTAGGGTCTCGTAAATCAGTCTAAAACTTACGTAAACGAGTCATGTGTGTATTGTCGATATATTTCAATGTGATAAATGTTATAACTTTCTTTGAACAATGTTTTGCGCTGACTTTGTTAGACATAAATTGTTTAAAACATTAGCAAATTGCCCAGAGTTATTTCTATTTACGCTTATCTTCTTACATAAAGGTGTATGACAACAGGGAATTAGCAGACGCAACAAATCTTTGCCTGACATTCAAAGCCACGGGAGCAGAGGAGGTGTACGCGCGACGCGACGACCCGTGCCCTTTAGCCATAGCAGCACCGCCTTTAATGCTGCTGCCAGCGGTGATGGTACTCACCAAGTTTGCAGTACCTCATACTTGGTCGCTGCATGCTGTGTATCTCGCACTTGTACTAGAGACGGGCCTAATCAACGTGGTTTACTATTCTTGCTATCGCTATTCACAATACAAGGTTTGTATTTACTTAGATACATTTTGTCTTGCTTTCTCTTAAAACAAAAAGGTTTTATCATTACTGCTTCATTTTCACAACAATTTCTTGACAAACTTATCCTTGTAAAAGAGAACATGAGCACATGGGATAAAAGACCAGAACATAATTTTTAAACTGTTAATGGATTAGGGGGGTGTAAGCGGGGCCACTTACTTACTTACTTATTCCTGGCCACGGGACCGTCCACGGTAACGGTGCGGCGGAGGTGCGAAGAATCCCGGGCTACGGTAGGGTACCACCGGCGGATGTATTTGGCGACGTACAATGGATGCACTCTGCGGTTGGGCGATGCCCTTGCAGAATTAGAAGCGGAGGTGAGCCATATAAATTGGCATATTTTGGGGCTGTCAGAAGTCCGAAGACAGGGGGAGGCGTCGATGGGCCTATATTCCAGCCATCTTTCATACTCCCGACATACTTCAAACTATCCCAAGGTGGGTTCATATTTATGGTGCGTAAATCGCTCAGAAACAGCCCAGAACAACCGTGAACAGTTCATTCATGGTTGTCCATGACAACCATGAATTAACTGCGATTTTAATGCAAAAGTGGGAGTACAGGAATAATGCGAATCCTGGGTAAGACCTTTCGGTTACGGGCACAGAAACCATCGGGGGCAAATACTGTTAAACCTCCTCAAGGCCAAGGGGCACTATCTGATGAACACTTTCTTCCACAAGAAGCCCCAAAGAAAGCGGACCTGGCTAAGCCTCCAATAGCGCGACAAAGAACGAGATCGACTTCATCATCACAAACACACGCCAAATATTCAGGGATTACTCTGTGATCAACAGGTTCAACACCTTAAGTGATAACCGACTCTTAAGAGGCACCCTAAATTTATTTATCCATGACAACAGAGTGGGCGCGTCTGATGAAGTCGACTCTTAGAAATCCTAAAGATCCTGATCAGAATAATCGGTTAAATTTATCAAATTATTGTGTTGTCATCGGTTCTTGATAAGTGTCCGAAGTTTCAATTTAATTCGACGTTTGGAAGTGGGTCAAAATCACGTTCGAAGATTCCGTTACATACGAGGGTGCGTTTTTAAGTTCGCGGAATGAGAGGGTTAGAGGGGGGTGATTAGGCTCATTAGAATCGTCACGTGTTCAGTGACTCATAATTAGTATAAATACCAGGTTTCATTGTTATTAGACAATTAGTCTTTGAGTTATCGTCAACCAAGCAACATAATCGGGAGTGAAAAGTGAAACATGGAGAAAATCGAATATCGTGCCGTTATAAAGTTCCTTACCAATCAAGGAAAATCAGTTGCGACCATAATGAATGAGATGTCATTGGTTTACGGCGGCTCTTGTCCAGGAAAAACCATGCTGTACAAATGGCACAGTTTATTTAAACAAGGAAGGGAATCCCTTGAAGACGACCCGAGGCCGGGCCGGAGCATCGATGTGATCACGCCAGAACTTATCCAAAGAGTCGAAAAAATTGTACTTGACGATGCTCGACTAAAGAAGAAACAACTCGCAGAAATGGTTGGAGTATCTGATACAACCATTTTTAATTCTGCACGATCATTTTGGCATGACAAAGGTCAGTGCAAGATGGGTGCCGAGAATGCTCACGCCGACGCAAAAACAACAGCGCGTAGAGTGTTCACGTGCATTTTTAGACCTTTATAATGAAGACAAGGATGCTGTATTGAGTAGAATTGTTACTGGAGACGAAACTTGGGTTCATCATTATGAACCTGAGTCGAAACAAGACTCCATGCAGTGGCATAAAAAGGGCACAGCACCTCCCAAGAAGTTTAAGGTGTCACAGTCAGCTGGGAAACTCATGGCAACGGTCTTTTGGGACTCAGAAGGAATATTATTGATCGATTATAAAGATAAAGGTGTTTCTATAACCGGAAAATACTACGCTTCAATATTAGAGCGACTCAAAGAAGCCATTAAAGAGAAAAGACGGGGAAAATTGACAAAAGGTGTGTTGCTTTTGCACGACAACGCGCCCGTCCACAAGGGGTGAATCACCCACCCTACAGCCCAGACCTGGCCCCCAGCGATTATTACCTGTTTCCAAAAATGAAAAAAGAGCTGCTGGGTAAACAATTTACCAACGATGATGAAGTCAAGGAGGCAGTCAGTTTCGGCGTATTTTGAAGACAAAGAGAAAACATTTTTTTATGAGGATATAAACAAATTAATTGAAAGATCTGAAAAATGTATCCGTCTTGCAGGTGAATATATTGAAAAGGAAAAATAATTTGGTTTTTTTATTTCCACCCCTTCCCATTCCGCGAACATAAAAACGCTCCCTCGTACATACATACCCAAGCTAATAAAGCTTGTTAAAAATACTGACCTAAACTAGCTTAAAAAAAATTTTAGAAATTGGCTTCAGTTGCTACACAGATGAACAGAAAGAAACTGCTTCATTTTGCAATGCAATCTGGCCCATATATTTCTTTTATATTGCAATTGCATATTGGTGTGTCATGAAATGAATGAATGAGTATTTGACATTTATGTGGCTCTAATCTATGTATTTGTAAAATGTCGTTTAGAGCAGTATTGTAAAAAGTTTCATTTTACTATCATTCTTCCTGAATTAAATGTATAGGCATCTGACATGTCTATAGACTCGTATTAAATATATTTTCGGCGCTCTAGATGCATAAATGAATAAATATAAAGTGTGTTGTAGTCTCAAGGCATTGGCAGCTATGTGATACACTATACGAGTATCTTTCTGTTAGTTTTGTATACCTACTAAATATATTGGTCGTTACTCGATTGAAACAAAATATTTCTTAAAGATTAGATTTAGATCTTCGTAAGTGATAAAATATGTAAACAATGCATTTTGAAAGTCCAAAAGACAACCCATTGGCTAAGTGACGAACACTTTTAATGAACTTTTTGTGCTTTGAATTAAAAAAACATTAAAAAAGAAACATTAATTAATTGTGTATTTGTACTTAATCTGACCTCTTGAACCTAATAATACAGTTTCATTGAATTAATGTTGTTATATGAAGTGTATCAACTGAAAACGGAATATAACGTAGTAAAGCAGATATTGACTAAATATTATTCTGTTTTATCATTTCAGAAAATAAGGGTGAGCCCTTACTGGAAGTTGACTTGCGGAACATTTAACATAGCAATGTTTGTGGCAGCCAACATTGCGCCATTGGTAAGCTAAATAAATATACTACTGACATAACTGTCTTTTCTTTTTATATTATTTCTGCTACTATCTCCGTCACCACAACTCCATTATTGTAGCAACTTAAAAGTAGTTAGGTATTTAAAGAAATAACATAAAATTTTATTTACATTTTTTTTAATTTAAGTCTGCTTTTAAAGTAAACAAAACCTCTTTATAGTGTAGTTAGATTAAATTCTGCCATGTTCAAAGTGATTCCCATATTAAACAGTGAAAAGTAAATCCTTGCGGTAAAACAAAATGTAACAAATATATAGGTATAGTGAACGTCCTATGGCTGAAATGGTGATAATGATGATGAAATCAATCAACATTCTTGATTTAGAAATTATGATACTTAGCTTATGAGATTCAAATATGAAATAAAATAAATACTTTTTAACCATATAACTATAAGTGGGTAAAAAGTATTTATCTTATTTCTTATTTGTATTCTTTATAAAATTGGTGATAAAATGACGAACATTGTAATGGCACTGGAAACTTGCATTCTCCCTTTCGTTGAAATTACGAGTAGATCATTATCATTATCGAGAATGTGAGAAATCATAATATGAACTCACAAGTTTTTAACTGATTTGTTTTACAGATAATCTGCGGCAACTTCGAAACGATGCTACAAGACGGTCTGCGGGACGACGCGATTCAACATGAAGGTGCAAGGCGTTGCATTCATCCATCTTACTATTATCACGTAAAGTATCTTTATTCCTATTACATCTTGATATAATTTATAGATGATATGAGATAAACAGTAAATTATTAAATTAAAATTCATATATAACTTAGGATTGATCAGAATTATGTAGCCGAAATATGCTGGCATTCCAGCCTGTACCTCCTTATAGAATACAATGATATAAAAGTACTATATACGTAGTAGTAGTGCAATACACGTATTTCTGATGGTAAATAGACATTAGCGCTCTATGCTACGGACGGATATTATTGGCAACATACACGTGAGCCAATGTGTGATTCAAGTCTTCATAGGGACCAGTAGCTATCAGATAGAACGCTTGCTTATTTAGTTTTTTTTATAGTATAAAGTATAGTGAACTTGCAATTAGGTAAATTAAACACGGAACTATAACCGGTTCAAAACTCTTGCTTTCTTAAATAAATGATATATCAGTTGCGTTTTTTGAAATAGTTTTGAAATGCCTTGAAATCAATTGCAGTTTTTATTTCATGTTTGGTAAACTAATACTAAAGACGTGGATAACAAATTATCCAAAACTTATGTCAAATATTGTTTCATTCTGCTTATTCGCATTAACGCATCGCATGTAAATTAAATCAGGCACTAGATGCAACAAGTTTCTAATATAGTTTTTTCCAGAAGACCTTAAATATTCCGATGAATAAAACAACTTAAAAGAACGCCATATTTTTTTTTTGACAATTCTAAATAATAACCTCAATTAGTGACGGTTTCTACATCTTGACAACATCGTAACCCATTTCCCTCGTTCGACTTTCAAATGTTGCATCGTGGGAACATACACAGCTGCCAGGTATAGTGTTTTCCGATCACTTTAGTGTAAAAGACTAATTTGACATCCGACCGACATTTAACAGAATCCACGAAAAATTCATTTTATATTATATCGGGCTGGAACATTGCAAAAAGTATTATTTAAAATGTAATGTTACACTTGTTGACACCTAATTAAATATTATGCGCTGAAATATACCATGTGAAATTACTATGATATTACTTTACCAATGGTAAAATATTGAGTATTGTGGCATTAGAAAAGGAACTTAATAAACAGGTTGTCTTATGCAAAACTCTGAAACTATTCTTATAAATATAAAATGTAGGTCTCTTAACCATTATTACTTTTGCGGTAAAAATTCCACACACATATTCTTAATAACTTTGTATTTGGTTAGATTGGAGCTGGTGCAGCGTGTGGTGCTCTGTGGGTTTCACCACTGGGGGCGTGTGCGCGGAGCGTGCTACTTTTGTTGTTGGCTGCCGTACACGCTATTCCCGCCATCCTTCACCCCTCGCTACTGGTAGCACGCCCTAGCCTCGACCGAGACCCGTACCTAAAACCATACAACGACACCACTGATTGTATTAGTGAGGATCTCTTTACATTATTGTAAGTGCAGTAACGTAGATAAGCAAATATAATTGATAACCAGTGTACAATTAATAATATGTGTTTTTTTTCTACACCGGTAGAGCTGGCATCCACAGTCGACGTAATATAATAATGCTATTCTTCATAGTACTCTCCATGCTGATTTTCAACAGATATGTAAGTAAACTATAATAACGAAATTGCAAAATTGGTACACCACGCGGGAATAGCTACTGTAATCCTGTGGTTCGGTTGTATAAACAAACTATAAATAGTTAAGAAGGATTTTGTTGGTACGCTAGGTGGAGTCACTGGAGCGTGCGCGGCACTCACGCAGTGAACGCATGCGCGTGCAGGCGGAGCAGGCGGGCGACCTGCGGCGCCGCAACCAGGCGCTCATCCATAACGTGTTGCCGCCGCACGTCGCGCGACATTTCATGGGCGCCAGACATCACCATCGTGACCTGTACAGCCAGAGCTATGCTGAAGTTGGCGTTCTTTTCGCTTCTATGCCTAACTTTTCAGGTAAATATTGATCATAAAAGTAATATGTATCTCGACGCGTTGATATGATTAAAATCATCAGTTTATTGTGACTGGTGCTTTAGTATACTATTAATCTGCTATGTTTACTATCTCGTTGTTCATTATAAAGCTGTTGGAAGAATTTTTAAAGTAGGTAAGGCAATTTTCAACGTTTTTTTGAGTATGTGTAATTAGGAACTTTGAGTATGTGTAATTAGGGACCTAACCGCGAGAATATTTTTAAAAGATGCAATACCCGAAAGTAAACCCTGAGATACTCATTCAAATGTACCAAAAGCCGCGAAAGTTAAAAAAAAGCGTTAACTGTTTATTAGCATATTTTTGTTGTTTATCCTGAAATTATTAATACATCGTGTACAAACAAAAATCTCTGTTACAGAATTCTACTCGGAAGAAACCGTTAATAACCAAGGCCTAGAATGTTTAAGATTTCTCAACGAAGTTATATCAGACTTTGATTTGGTAGGTAATTGCTGATTTTACACTTTATATAATTAAATACACATACACAAGAGTTACGTGTCATGTCTGCATCGTATCAATATATGCATTGCAATTCAAAATTTGCAACGGTTATTATATGGTACCTCTATGTTGTAGGTTCAATGATATTACACAACAGTGGACTTAATGTTCCATGAACTTGAAATGACTAATTTTACTTTAAGAATAGCAGTATAACCGATAACTGTAACTTTAGGACTGAAATTGTCAAGTCACCAATACTTCTATAAATTGTCTCGTACATGATTTACTTTTTTTCTATGTTATAGGTATAAACACTACGAGTATAAAGTTAGTTGGTAGGGCTTTGTTCCTATAGGGCGCGTACATTCCATTCATCTTATAGCATAATCGCAGTTATCCGCTCAGTAAAACAAAATGACAAACAAAAAGAAAAAAAAACGATTGGATTAAATGGTTTATTGATTAATTTTTAGCTAGTTATCAATTTAACTGAACCACAAAAAATTTTACACACTGCGATTATTTGAAAACGTTTGTCCTTTTGAACAATCCTTTAGTCTCAGTGATTACGGAAGTATTAAAATATAATCGCTAACTATAGTTCAAGGTCCTTTGATTTATCTCAAGTTCGTATTTAGTAATTATTATGATATAGTATTTAGACATGTCACAGTGAAGTGAATCGACGCTAATGAATACGTTATTTCAGTTGCTGGAGGACTCAAAATTCAGTAAGGATATTATCAAAATAAAAACCATCAGCTCAACTTACATGGCTGCTTCGGGCCTAAATCCTACACGACAAATGCAGGTTTGTTTATTAAAAAAAAAGTGTAGCAAATTTTCACGTGCCTGTGGTAATCCTTTAACTTAATTTTAGGTTTTTAATGTGAGCGACATATTCTGTAAATGATATACTAGTAGTACAGAATACTACTAGTTCATCATTGTACTAGTAATCATTATACCTATGTTTTCTATCCATGGTGTGTAATAAAGAGTACCTTTCTATCTATCTATCTAGTAGGTGATACAGGACCTAGCCTACAGTGATTGCGCGAGTGAAAGTTTTTAACCCATTTCTTTAAGACGACTTATAAATTGTGCCTTAAAATAAGGGCAAAATTATTTAAAATTGTTTTACTTGAGTTTTTTTTTATTTTCTGTAATAATTAATTATTATTTTATATTTATGGTTTAAATAGTTAACAATAAGAATGGAAATACATACAATTTGTTTGACATTGAAAACCCGCTACTTTAGCTACTAGCTTGCTAGCTTGCTTCAACAGCTCTGGGAAATTAATTCCCATTATGATGGATGGTAACGCTTTTGATCATGAAGGCGGACGGAGGATAGTTTAAAAAACTATATATTTATATTATAAATAATCTCCTTCTAGGTTATACGTACACCTAAAGCCCCGACAATACCCTGGTCCTGGGGATGATAGAACTTATATGAATACAGCCGGTTTGAGTCTAACATACCCTCGCCGTTAGGCCTCTGTGAGGTGACGCATTGTATATGCCTTGCAATGTAAATTTTGGTCTCTTTCGAAAGTTTCCAATGTTTTACTATAAATATTGCTTTTAGTCTTCTTCGTTTCTCACCTGACCTCAGATACTTAAATTAATGTAATTATTTAAATAATAATGGTCGCGTCTTATTGATTTTAAATGTAAATAACTGACTCAATATAAGAACAACAAACATCAAAATGTTACACCGAGAAACCTTGTGGTTTTGTGCATTATTGCGTCTCCTAACGAATCATTTCTCAATAAAACTTAATTGGCCTCGACTTAAACAGGTGTGGACTAAGGTAAGGTAAGCGTCTAAAAATAATAAAACCTTTGTTGTAAAATTAAATTTGAAAGAAAAATTAACACCATTAGGTTGTATAAAAACGTTAATTTTAACAGATTTTTTTTTAGAAATTATGTACTAGTTATAAAGATAGCTAAAAAGTTTTTTTCCTTATACCTTCCTTTGTCTTCTCAAGTTTTTCGCCGTATGTCAAATTTTTCATTAGTTGTTCATGTTTTTAATCATAATTTTTCATAGTATATTATACATTTATTTCCTAAAATAATGTCGTACATTGCGGAGCAACAGCATGTGTTATTTAGAGAAAAAGTTGGCTGAGACAAATCTTTTACATTCAGTCAAAAAAGTATCGGGAATGGATGATTTGTTTATGGTTCCAAATTCAAATTTTTGTTTTTTTTTTGTTGTTGTTAGATTGACACAACTGTTTTCCATTTTGGCGAGGAGTTTGAGTTGCATCTGTTATTTATATTAAATACAGTGCTGTTTTTATTTGTATCATATCTAGTGTGTATTGCGAATTTCATAATGGACAAAAAATCGAACAAAGAGTTTGTCTTAAATTTCTTTTATCGCCAATGGAATTTTGTGTTCGGAGTCACTGAAAATGTTACAGAAGACTTACGGTGAATCGATTTAATAAAAAACACGTGCTTATGAGTGGTGCAAAGCATTTAAAAGCGGTCGAGATATGATGGAAGATTTGCCTCGCTCTGGTAGGCCATCAACGTCTTCAACTGAAGTTAACATCGCAAAAGTGAAGGAAATAGTATCTGAAAATCCTCATTCAACTTTGAGAGAGATAGCCGCCGAACTTCTGTATCTCACGAGTCGATCCGTACCCTTTTTAACCGACTTCAAAAAAAGGAGGAGGTTCTCAATTCGACTGTATTTTTTACTAATCATTTGGGTATGAAACATGTTTACCGCTCGGCTAGTCCCAAAAGAATTTTCTCCAAAAACTCAATTGCATAAGAGTCAATTCCGATCCAACATTCATGACTCGCATTGTTACTGATGACAAGACGTGGGTTTACGAGTTTGAGATACAAACTAGTAAACAAGCTTCGGAGTGGCGCCTTCCAACTGAACTGAAACCGAAGAAACCACGCCAAAGTCGATCAAAAGTCAAAGTCATGTTGACTGTTTTCTTTGACTATCGCGGAGTTATGCACTCGGAATTCTTGCCGGAAGGTAAAACGGTAAATAAAGAATATTATTTGAGCGTCATGTGACATTTAAGAGACCAAATTACAAAGAAAATTCTTGGATTTTGCACCACGATAATGCGCCTTCGCACAAGGCTCTCATTGTGAACGAATTTTTGACCAAACACTCAACAAATACCATCGAGTAACCACCATATTCACCAGATATGGGTCCAGCCGACTTCTTTCTTTTTCCTAAACTCAAATTACCACTTCGTGGCACCCGTTTTTAATCGGTAGAAGACATAAAGGAGAATTCGTAGCGAGAACTGAACTCAATTCCGGAAACGGCGTTTAAAAAATGTTTTGATGATTGGATTATTCGTTGGCGTATCGTGTATCGTTTCTGAAGGAGCATACTTTGAAGGTGATAAAATAAATTTGGATGAATAACAAACATTTTGTGTATTATTGATCTTTTCCCGATACTTCCTTGACAGAGTAGTACATAATTTGTGGGTTATACTATATACATAATTTGTGGGTTATATTATTTCATTTTAAAAACATAAATCTGCCACCACAAGAGGGTGTCTGGTGGCAGATTTATGTTTTAATATGAAATAATAAACTAACCACTTGAGATATATTTTTTAAAAAACAGTAAAAGATTGAGCAAATTTCATCCAAATGTTTTCCATCAAGTTGTACACACTGTTCTAAACGGATTCTTGTGTTTCGCGCCACACTCTGCAATACGCTCTGTTGAATTGCGCTAATTTCTCGTCGAATATTGTTGTTGTTGTTTTAAGTCGACAACCGTCCGCGGATTGTTTGCGTACACGCTCTCTATGAGGTAGCCCCATAACAAAAAACCATCGGGATTAAGTCGGGTGACCTGACTGGCCTCGAGATGTCCCCAAAGCGACTAATCAATTTTTGGGGCAAATGTTGACGAAGAAAATTCATCGAAGATCTGGCTGTGGTGTCGCACCATCCTTTTTTTTTTTTTTTTTCACCACCAACATCCTGTTGCAACCAAGTATGCGATGAACACGATGGATGAGCTCGCAGGTTAGATAAAAAGAAAACCGTAATCATACGCCTATAATTGTCACTATTGATATTCGTTGCTTGGCCTAGGGAATTTTCAAAAAAAAATTGTAAAATAATCCCATTCGTGGATAAAGCACACCAAACCGTGACCATAGTGGTGGTGTTTTAGTCGAGGGTTGCCAGTTCTTGGAGACCACTAAAAGCAGTTCTGGTTGTTGACGTGCCCGTTTAAATGGAAATGAGCCTCGTCACACCAAAAAATGGAGTTTACAGTGCGAAAACCCTCCAGCATCGTTTCACAAAAAAAATTACGTGAAACAAAATCATTTTTTACAAGGCCATGCGGGGACCGTGCTCAGGGCCCTTAAGTATGAATTTATTGAATATAAATATCATATAATACTTTTAAGGAAGATCGAAATTGATGAAATTTAAATAGATTAAATAGTTCGATAGAACTATTTAGACGTAAAATCTAGCATACAAATACAGCTAAGAACTCGTAAAATAATATAAACTTTCGCAAAACTTACTTTAAATTTTTAAATTCTTTTTTCACTTTCATCTTTGATTAACTGAGCATGTGACCAATCATGGCCAGTGCTCCGCGGATGAGTTTTCTCATCATGATCTAACCTATCTATCCTATGTTCTTCGACCTCCTAAATCCAAACCTAAAATTGTAATGCAGCGCAGTTTTGGTAGCATAGATCAGGAAAAGCTATGTGCGGAGGTTAGAAGCATCGACTGGAAACCTCTGTTATCTTCGGTGTGTATTGACACAAAAGTGAACATTTTAAATGTAAACTTAATCAATTTATATGAAATTTATGCCCCTTTTCGTAGTGTTAAACTACAGCATTTGCCTGCTCCATGGCTCACCGATGAAATACGAGCCATCATGTCGAAAAAGGTAGCGGCAAAGACGAGATACAAGCGTCGACCTACTCAAACTAACTTCGACAAATATGTGAGTAGGAGAAATCACTGCAATAAGGTGTGTAGAGAAGCGCAACGCCAACACATCCATAAATCTGTTGAAAACAACGATCCGATGAAGATCTGGAAATTTCTGAAAACATTAGGAGTTGGAAAATTGAACCAAACCCTGTGTCTAAAGACTTAAGTCTTGATTCACTTAACAAGTATTTGCCTCCTCGTCTGATTTTGATGAGGCAACAAAAGCTAAAACTTTAAAATATCTTTCATCTATTCAAACTCCTAACTACTCTCCTTTCATTTTTAATCAATTGGCAGCTTGTGATGTTAGGACGAGCATACTTTCAATCTCATCTAATGCGGTGGGAAGCGACTGCCTCAGTATAAAAATAACTGTCCCCATCCTTGATGATATTCTCCCTGTCCTATGTAACATTTTGAACAATTCCTAATCCTACGGCGTCTTTTCATCCGCATGGAAAATAGCTGAAATTATTCCTTTGCCAAAAAATCGAAGCCTTCGTCCTTCTCAGACTATCGCCCTATATCTATCTTACCATTCCTTTCTAAAGTTCTTGAACGTCTTGTTTATAATCAACTCAACAATTTTCTGTTAAAGAACAGTCTCCTTAATCCCTTTCAGTCTGTCAGATGATATTAGAGAAAATGTGGATAGTGGAAACGTGACGGTATTATCCTTACTCGACACTTACTCCAACTTACTCCTTACTCCAACTTCAGTAACGCATTTAATACTGTTTATTTCCATATTCTCCTTGGTATTCTTCGCTCTCTTAACGTATCTCCAGGGGCAATTGATTGGTTTTAAAATTACCTGTTTGGGCGTCAGCATCGGATTCGACCTGAAGACTCCCTCTCTTCATGGTGTAATGCAACTGTCGATGTCCCACAGGGTGGCGTTCTATCTCCTTTACTCTTCGCAATGTTTATTAATTCTATTTCCAATCATTTACTTTCATCCTACCACCTGTATGCTGATGATTTTCAGATATACACCCATGCACCTGTCAGTATGTTATCGACTGCGCTTAATATTATTAATTCCGATCTAGAGCACATACGTGCTTGGAGTAACAACTATGAACTCAAAACTAATCCTACAAAATCACAGGTATGCATCATGGGAAGTCCCAAAATGTCTGCTAATATTAATTGGTCAACATTTGTCTCCGGTTCAATTTAACAATACCATAATACCGATCAGCAGCAAAGTCAAAAAATTGGGAGTGGTAATCGATAGCACCTTATCATGGGGACCTCAGATTTAGGAGGTGAGCCGCAAAGTGTTCGCTGCAGCGGGATCTTTGCGAAGGTTACGAAACTTTCTTCCGACTGCTACTAAAACTGCACTTGCACAAGCGCTCATTCTTCCGATTTTTGACTATGCCGACGTTAGCTATCTCGATCTCACCGAAGCATATCTTGATGACCTTGACCGTCTCCAAAATTTTTGCATACGATTCATATTTGGTCTTCACAAATATGATCATGTTTCCCACTACCACAATAAGCTCAGGTGGCTTCCAATCCGCCTTCGCCGAAATACTCATATCCTTACACTTCTGTGTAATATTTTGTTTAATCCATTAACTCCTGTTTACCTCAAAGAACGCTTTAAGTTCCTTCATGACACACAAATGAAATGGCTGAGGTTCTCTGAAAGCCTGAGATAGGAAATACCAATTTCTACACTATATCATTTTCCGTAGAAGCTGTACGTTTATGGAATGCCTTGCCGGTTTCTAACAGACGTGCGCAATCCGTAACCACCTTTAAGACTATGCTGTATGAGCACTATCTGTCTCTAATAGTAGGAAATTAGTGTATGTATATATTAACATATGTATGTATAGTATTAATGTATAACTATAGAAAAGTAAGATTTCATCATCATCATCATCATCAACAGCCTTTACTAGTCCACTGCTGGACATAGGCCTCTCCTTAGAAAGGAGGTTTTGGCCTACTACACCACGCTGGCCAGACGGGTGGGTATAGGGTTTGTGTTAAGTTTTCCTTCTCTCTGCAGTGCTGTTGTCCTGCGTAGTTTGCTCCGTTAGTCGCCTCATACGACACCCACGGGATGAATAGGGGTGGTGACACACTGTATTCTTAATCCGTCACCACACGGACAAGTAAGATTTATATATGATAAATATTTCATAGGTTAAGACCTTATTTATTTCTCTAATTTCTGTATACCTATCACCAGTTCATAATGAATCCAGTCCATCCAAAGGTTGTCTGGAAGAAATTGCACTAAGCGATAAGGCCGCCCTTTGTACATTACATCTGTTGTTAATTACTTTATAATGTCTGTAAAACCCTGGTGTACAAATAAAGTATTTATCTATCTATCTATGTATCTATCTAAATTTGATCTTTTAATAAGTTATTTTGCGATGTGTTGAATACGAAGAGACAAATGCATTACATACTTGTTCCGTAGAAGGTAGTTTGTAAAACATATTTATTGTGAAATTAATTGACACACTTGAATACTAATTTGTTACCTAATATGTTTGGCAAAATTGTCTTCACGATGTCCCTTGTGCGTCCTTAACCAGTATATACCTACTCTGAGATCCACGCAGCTGCTTACAATACAATAATTATGAAACCTAAGATTGCACCCACATTGTCATGCCTATGATACAAATTGTTTACAATATTAAAGACATAAGTAAAGCTATTGAATTTATTCTACTAGCCGTCTGATGGTGTAATGGTGCGGTGGGCTCACCTGGCATGCCTAGTGGAGTTTGCTTTGGAACTACAGCGCGTGCTCGCTGCCATAAATGAACAGTCCTTCAACCATTTCGTTCTGCGCATGGGCGTCAACCACGGGCCCATTACCGCCGGCGTCATTGGCGCTAGGAAACCTCACTATGATATATGGGGAAATACGGTCAACGTTGCCTCAAGAATGGAAAGTACTGGCAAGGCTGGCTGTATTCAGGTAGGTATTCCACTTTTTCATATAATTTTCTACATATTAAGTATTCTTCTGCTTTTTCTATTTATTTTAATTGACCACTAACTCACAATTTAAATATTCAAATAATCGTTCAAAATATTTATTGATGTAAGTGATATTGTTTTGATGTCGTAGTAATGTTTATCGAAGTTTATAGAAGAAGAAACAACATTTAAGCAACAAACTCAACAGGTTGTTTTAGCCCAAGAAAGTAATTTTAAATATTTTTCTGCCTTTTTATTGGTATTAAAATTCTTATTTCCTAGATTTCTGATTTCTTTCTCAAATATTATATAACATAAAATAGTTTAAATAAAATTGAATTGTTCAAAAAACAATGTTTTGACTAATGTCAAAATACAGCGTTTATAATCTCAGCAGCATCTAATGATGTTGGTGACATTAGCACACTTCTCTGATTAGATGTACCCCTGTGCTAAAGCAGGATTTGTGTACGTATTTATTCCGTGGGAGCAAAAAAATTGAAACCATAAAATATATTGGTATAATCGGCAGTGAAACTAAAGCCGATCACACAGGAACTGAAGGAAGAGCTTTAAGGAAGAAGCTTTAAGTTAAGCTTCCAATTTTCTTCTGATTAATTTCGTTGCGGGTTTCTAGAAAGTAATTTTTTTTCCTGGGATTCGGTGTGTTCGTGGGCCTCCGCTGTTGATCTTGGTGTACAGGAGTTACAGTGGTGGGCGTGTCGGAGATTTTTTTAAGTTCGACAGCTGTTTGAGTTTATCCTAATAAACACTAAATAATGAACTTCTACCAGCTTTATACCTGTTTTATACAAATAAAAAAAACTTATGTTTTAAACTTCTAAGATATATAATTATAATTAAATATAAATGATAGATTAGTCAAGGTTTAGTTTACTAAGTGTCAAATTTTAATATACTATTGGTTGAGTTACTGTTTTCAAACCAAGCCATGAAATAGCTGTTGTTGACTTTTAATCAAATTGAATTTGCCTCTTTAAGGAATATGTTTTTAAATTAAAAGTATCTACGCGCTCGTTGGCCTACGTTTTGTAAGTTTCAAATACCTGATTTCTATTAATTTTGTAATTAAACATCTTATTCGTCCGTTTCATGCACACACTGATCTTTGGTTGCAGGTAACGGAGGAGACCTGCGAAATCTTGCAAAATTTCGGGTACTTTTTTGAACAACGCGGCTTGGTGGCAGTTAAGGGCAAGGGCCAGCTCATGACCTACTACCTGCAGGGCAAACGAGACACGCCCACGGGCCCAGCGGACAAACACACTGTTAGTAACACCTATATCGCACTTACCTTATTTAATAAATAGTAATCAACTGACGAATTTATACGGTAGTCACGTACGTACAGAGGTAAATATCAAATGATTCAGTGTGCGTTAGTTTTTGAAAAGGAGGTAAAATGCTTGATCAGAATACTAATACAAACTACACTGTTTAAATATTGTTGCTTATAGCTCAATTCTAGGATAAATTCAGATCCAAAGAAGGTAATGTCGGCTATAAAATATAACTACTTTTTCATCCAGGTTTTAAATAAAGATATTACAGCTCATCCCCAATTCAATCACACCCCTCAGCTTTCAAGAATGTGGTCACGGTTTTTTTTGGTCTACATAGTTTCCTAACAACAAATATTTATGGAACCTATGAAGAATGCACGGTTCACAATTTCGAAGTCATCAAAACGGCGCGGTTATACCTAAGTAACGTTAAAAATATTGATTTTGCATGGAAAACTAGTGGAACCATTTCACAAATTTATTATTTGTGTCAGTAAATATATAAATTTTGAAAGAAGTGTTTGTACATGTTTTTGACTTAGGTAGGTAGTTTAAAATTTTCATGTATTCCTTTTTCAAATTAGTAATTTACACACTACATCTTTTCTAATGTTGAGAATTTATTACACTACCATGGATATAGTAAATATGTAGGTTTAATTTGAAGTGTGTCTGGCGGTTACGGACACAATGGACTGGAGCTACAAAAGTAGTGCGGCGGACAGTCTACCCGGACAGGCCGATCTGACTCTTGTCGCCCTGCACGGGCAGGCCGCCCGTCTCGCTGCTATTCTCATCGTACCAAACGACCCGTTACGACGAATTACTGCTGATCTGGCGTACTAGCTTCTGTTAATAAATACATACATAATGTTACATTAACCTTTCAAGTGTACTACTGTAATTTTTATCCTCGTAGTTTTCATCTGTGACCACTGATTCGGTGTCAATTAAACAAGAAGCCGAATGGTGTCGTGGGAAAAGGAAGGAAGTTTCTTAAAATAATATTCCATTTATAAGTTTTCATCAAGGTATTTTTCAAAATAAAATTGCACATAAATTTCTTATATTTACAAAAAAAAGATTTGCTGTTGAACTACAGCTAGTTTTTAAAAGAATAAGTCGAACACTAATAATTGTAGGCATGCCTTATTCTGGAGTTATTAAATGAAAATGCGTAAAGCAAGTAGACGGATTACTTTCTCTCTCTCTCGCTCTCGACTAACGCTTTTTCGTAACGTGATATCCCTCTCGCCAAATTAATACTAAATACTTTATTGCTACCATAATGTAAATTGTATAGTTCGTAAAAACTGAGCTAGGTATCAATTACGGACGCTGTCGTACAGTATAGAAGAGAGAGAGAGAGAGGGAAATATTTATTATTAAATTTATTTATATCTTATTTTTTTATATAATCTGTATACATAGCCATTATTTTTTTATTTAAATATTTAGTAAGTTTATATTGAATTTCACTGGGTGTATATTGAATTTGACTATATTATTATGTATTTGTTATAAAGGTTATTATTAAATGTATTATTATGTTACGTTTAATTTAATTAATTATTGCACTTGGTTTTGGTCAGGCTTGACTACGTTCTCATGACGATTTTTTTCTAAATCAAGTAGGTAAAATAATGTTTTAAATGCATTGTCACAAATTGTTTATTTCTTCCATGTATTCTTTTACACTGTAATAGTTTTTTTTTTGTAACAGGAAAAGTTTTAACTTATTAATAAAAATGTTAATTTTTCTTCGTTCTAAATCGTTTCTGGTAATTTATTATAAATTTTTAGAGACATAACTAAGGGGCTTGTAAAATGCATAGTTAGTTGGGAAGTTAGGAGATTTAGTCTATTTTTATGCCTAAGTGTGGATTTGATTTTTTTGTCCTCTCTATTACTATAGTATGCCGGGCGTTTTCGAACAAATTTACTAATTCGCAGAATATAAATACTTGGTAAAAATCGTCCCATAAGAAGGGAAATTTCATTCAGAAACTTGTTGATAAACTCGATAGATAAGGCCCGTGGTCACCTTTGTATCACGAATTTAAGGCAAATAGATCAATCGACCTTGCATACATACAGAACATCAAAATTAATAACAGATATACCACAGGAGTAGAACAAACAGCAGAATATCTTTTAGAATCACTCGTACCTGACGATCGGTCGGAAAACGACACTGATCATCACCGACAGATCAGACAGTGGGCCTTCGAACCGCTACTGTCTCCAATGTCTGATTTACCATCTTCAGACGAATTTCTCGGTATCATTAGATCCTTGCCGCTAAACAAGGCTTCGGGCGATGATAAAATATCTAACAAAATGATAAAAGAAGCTAGTAAACTTTCGGGTAACACAATTTTCACTGTGTTTAAACGTTGTATTGCTGAAGGAATATTTCCTCGTATTTGGCGGTGCGGTAATATTCGTATAATACCAAAAAGAGGCGATAATCCACCGGATGATCCTAAATCCTACCGACCAATCACATTATTACTATCGTCAGGAAAGCTTTTAGAACGTCTTGTAGTGCCCCGGCTTCTGCCAGGGGGAGTCAAATTTCATGATAGACAATTAGGATTTACGTTGGGGAAATCGACAACTGACGCTGTTATATCGGTTAGAAAGTTTCTCACAGAGTCACAATTTCAATACGTGCTGGCTATTTTGTTAGATATATCTGGCGCCTTCGACAACGCATGGTGGCCCATGCTGTTGCTGAAATTAAAATCACGGGCTTTAAAAATATTTATTCCCTTATCTCTTCGTACTATTCACAAGGTACAACTAAACTAAGTCTTGGTCATCATTCTGTGTTAAAGGCGCTTAGAATGGGATGTCCTCAGGGATCAGTGCTAGGTCCATACTTGTGGAATATCGGCTTCGACGATTTTCTTGCGATACCAATACCATCCGGATGTACTCTTAACGCGTATGCTGATGACGGCTTATTACTGGTGGTAATCTGATACTAGGGCGGAGCTTGAGAGATTAGCCAATAGATGTTTGAACTTGATATCTCAATGGGGTGAACGTAATCGCTTAACTTTTGCACCCAACAAAACCTTCCAGCTACTTTTAAAAGGTACCCTCAAATCACCGCCGAGCCTTAAATTTGACAATGTCACTGTAAAAAATAAAACCTCAGTGTGTTATTTAGGATTAGTTTTAGAAAGAAACTTTTCATTTATCGAACATATTAAAATAGTTAATGAAAAGTCTAAAAAGAGTTTCTGTGCATTGACAAGGATATCAACTGCGACATGGGGTCTATCATTTTATACATTAAAGATCATATACGGAGCTACTTATTTAGGTTCTATGTGCTATGGTGCACCTGTATGGGCCGATAGGGCGACCGGAGGCGCTGTCCGTCGCAAACTGTTACAAGGCCAACGACTGGCACTGATATTCTTGTGCAAGGCATATAGGACGGTTAGCACTGAGAATTTGCCGGTGTTGGCGGGTGTGCTTCCGGTCGATCTCGAGGTGCAGAGACGTGCAGCCATGTACTATTCAAGACAACAAAACATGGAATGCGATTATTTGGGTGCGCGGGATCGCGGTAAAATTACAAGATTGCTTCAACAGCAGTCCGATGTCTATAATGACCTCATAGACGAATGGCAACAACGCTGGGACGAATCATCCAAGGGGTATCATCTTAACCAGTTCTTTCCATCTGTTCGCGAACGGTTGTCGAGGACATGGCTTGAGGTGGATCACTGTGTCGCTCAATTTCTTACGGGTCATGGTAACTTTAAGTGCAATCTGTATTCATTTAAATTAGTCGAGTCACAATGGTGTCAATGCTCAACACCTAACTCATCATATCCTCTGGAAATCTAGTCTTTGGTATAATGAACGTAATATAATGCTGAATAGCTTGCAGGTGACATCTGGGGCGGCATACTATAGGGATCTTGTGTCAACAAGGGTGAATTTCCGTGCGCTTAGGCGATTCTGCCATACATATTATAGAAATCAAATATAGCTCACCTAGGACCCGTAATATTTTGTGGCCGTGGTACTTCCCTGTTTAAAAGGGTGTATGCCTATTTTACTTCATTTTGTCTCCCGCTTTGCTAAGGAGGGAAGTGGATATACTGTATTTTCAATTCCTCCAATTTTCTTCTGATTAATTTCGTTACGGGTTCCAAGACAGTTTAATTTCTTCCTGGGACTTCCTGAGTGTCATAACTCGTTGTGTTCGTGGGTCACTGCTGTGGATCCTGGTGTACAGGAGTTACAGTGGTGAGCGTGTGGGTGGGAATAGTCCTATTTAAAAAAAAAGGATCACCTCGCGTTGGGAAGCCGCGCACTAAACTGCCATTATTTCATTTTACGTAATAATTAACTGACTGACAAATTTCTTTGGGTATTTACAATAGTGTATGAGTTTAGTTAGGCTTAGACCTGCAAGGTTATTTTGTTTTTAATTATTTTACTTTCTTCACTTCCTTTCTTCTTTCGTAGCTTTAATTTAATAATTTATTATTATTTATAATTTAAGTCTTTTATTTTACTAAAATATACAATAACATAATTTCTAAGCCAATAATTACTAGATAATATTAAGAATACATTCTATCCAGTTCCTTACAGAAACTGGTTTAGCTAGTTTAAATACCCCAGAGCTGCTAGAATGGTATCTACTAATTCATTAAATAAGAATAATACTTGTTTTTTTAAGAAATTAATTTTAGAGAACCTTGAGTTTTGGTGTCAGTTAATGATGTTTTCAAATGCATAGGTAAGAGCTTAAACCCCATTAGGAATAGTTTTCTACATGTATTATCTTCATGAAGATAGTAAAATACAATGGAATATATAAAATACATACACATAATAATATTTGCGAAGTTTGTTGCGCTCTTGACAGATATTGATTATCTGTTTAAAGTTATGTATGATTCGGCAAAATTCGCTAAACGATACTCACTTTTCTAAATGAACTTTGACATAAGATTATATAAAGAGATTATGTCAGATATATATTTATATAATACAAATGTAGTTAGCTATAGGATATCACGTACATACATTGTTAGTTAAAGTGCATTTATATTGGTACTTTATTTGAATAAACAAAGAATTAAAAAGAGTACATAAATCATGCCTATGTTTTAGATGGAGGTGACAGCAAGTCCCGGTGACACGTTGCTAGCCAACGGCGATGCGGGGGCCGAAGTTGGAGACCCCTTGCGTGCTACTGAAGGTGCAGAATGTGCTCGACCTCTCTTGCAGCCCTAAATACTGCCAAACCATTCCAATAATAGTCGTAATCAGTATTAAAATAGGAAAATATTTATCCATACCTTTATTTTACAATGACACCAAAGCCTTAGAAGCACATTTACAATACGTAATAATGTAGTGACTAATTTATTTATGTCATAATTGCAGTATGATTTGATAAAATACCGGAATAGCTTTAAATGTTCAAAATAGTTTGTTTCTCTTATTTAGTTATGTAATTGTTACTTTGTTTATTTCATGTGGTCAAATGCATTTATGCAAATTATGCATTCTCCATCCTTACTTGTCGACAAAAGTTTTTTTTACTTAGTTTATTTAGTCGGAATCTTCAAACGCATGCAACGGTCAATCTATACTTGTGTATTGAATAGACTCAAATATTTTTTAATAATGTAATGATTACATTCACTATGTGTTTTTTTCAATAACCAGATCCCTAATTGGACCTTGGATCTTAGATTTTAAGCAAACATGCAACCTACACATTATTAAGCGCAGTTTCTTTGTGGAATAACAGTATTTTTGTAATTACGCCTACAAATCTACGTTTATAACACCCAAAGAGATTGACAATATCAACAAATATTGTATTTGTTGCAATATGTAATACTTAGCTTCCGCTTACATCAAATGAAATACCAATTTATTAATGCCTCCGTTTTTAGGTTATGCCACTGTTACAAATGAATAAATACCAATAAATTATATAGAGTTTGCTAAAATGTAGGTACATACATGTAATTTGTATTGCTGTATAGCCTGAACAGGTACATAACATGTGTAGCCGTGTTGCGAAATATCAAAATTATTGACGGTTATGTTATATTTATGGTTAGTATACAGATCTACTTCCAAATTATTATTCGAATGTCCCAAAGTGTATTTATTTGTGTGACTATTAGTATATAATTATTATAAATTATGTGTGTTGAATGTTAAAGGCAAATAAAATACGAAGATTATAAGATTATAAATGATTCATTTTTGCTAAGAAGTGATCATTTTATCATATATTATCGTTCTTTTCTTTGTTTTTTATTTTCCATTATGGGTCACTATTAACTAATATAAATATTTCTTTTAATCACAATAGAAACCTGATTTTATTTTTAATAAATTATGACAAATAAAACACTACTTTAAACATTATTTAAAGCGAGGTATTTTTTGGGAGTTTAATAAAATCTGAACTCAGTACCTACTACCGATCACATAAAAAGCTTAAAAAATGTCTATTATATTCTGTTACACTGAATTTTAATTCAATGTTATGACATACTGCCAGATATTCCTTTATGATTACAAAATGAAATGGTTGAGTTTGTGCTATAACAAGATGAAACTGTAACGATTTGTTTTATTCTTTTGTGTACAAAGTATCCACTTAACGACAATGACACGGTACTATTATAATACAGTACTGCAACTTCATACAAACGGACGAAACGGGAGCTATACCTACGCGCCTCGATCTCGGGGTGCGCTCGGGGCGCAGACAGTCACGGCTGTACCGCAGTGTCGAACGGACTGCGTGTTGTTTTTTTAACAATAACCGCGCGATTTTTTCTCTAAAAATCAGTTAATATGACGAGTAGGAAATATTGTGCTGTTTTTGGTTGTATGAATTCGTCAATAACGCATCCAGACATAAGTTTTTTTAAATTACCTGGAAACTCTGAAAAGTAAGACTATAAAATAATTTTACTTACTAGTACGTAGGTACATAATGTGTGTCTTTTTAATGGATAAGTATTTCCTTTTATCTCACGAAAAAAAAGGTGTTTGGATGAATAAATAAAGCAAATAGAGTAACGGAAAGTTATTGAGACGAGTGAAATAGGGAGTTACATGCGGTTCTGAATGAATCATGATACGGTAGGTACCTACCTACTTACGCTTGTGTTAAAACTTCGGTGCATGTTTGTTTTGTTACTTTGCATAATTCAAAAAAAAGAAAATTCTACTTAAAGACGTGGTATTTTATTATTAATAATATATCTTTATTATCTGTGTGTATGAATAATACTAAAAAAAATTTGTTACCGTCTGTGTGTCATTAGACAGTTTTCGAAATTTTCACAAAGTGTTTCTGCTGCTACTATAACAACATATACCACTAAAAACTGGTTTTATTTTCTCGGTATTAACAACAACAGCTAGACTCATATATAATATTTAGATGTTTGAGAGTTGTGATTTTAAAACATTCGTAGTCAGCTGTTCAGCTTTTTAATAATTAATTAATTGGTGACCAAAGAATTTTTGTTTTGAGTTGTTGCGAGTTGTAGGTTATAGGTTAGGTAATTTATAGAGACGTTAATTAGCTGAGATAAAAAGTTACTTACTCGTCAGCTGTTTCTTGCATTCTAGTTGAGTAGGTGGTAGGTGTTGGAGTTTCTAAGGATTGGAGTTTTGTAACGCGTATGGAGAAAGCACATTTATTTTATTTTATAGAAGGATTTTTTCGGTCGCTAATTTATAAGCCCGATTGGTTTTTCAAACAAAAAAATGTTTTTTAATTTAATCTACCAATCAAAAAACAACACGCATTTTTATTGAACAATTCCTATTCAATATACAAAGTATTTCATTTATTTATATAAAAAGGATATTTACAATCACAAATCTAAATAGAAACAGAAAGTAGGCAAATATAATTAAAATGCTGGAGACGGGCAGCCCTAACGCATGTTTACGTACCGCGCGGCTGTAGGCATTTATTTCTATCATGCGGCCGAGTTACAATACTGTATTATAATAGTACTGTGACAATGATTTTTAAGGCATGTCACACGTTTTATTCTTGCGCATAACTTGTGCGTTAAATTATTTTAAACATTTTAGAGACAAAGAATCAGAAGAGCAGTTACATATTGAATGATATCTTACTGTATATACATTTATTTCTTACAAGATATATCTAACTACAACACGTTAAAACTAATGAACGTGTGAGGAAATGAGCACAAAAGAAAAACAAGAACAAAACAAATTAATATAAACACCGCACACACTAAAGTAGAAATACTCTCAACTAATAACGTACCTAATAAATGTAAATTATATATACGACTAAAATAAAATAAAAACTCATTTTTTTATCCTACAAGTTTCATAGTTTCACTCACTTCACTAACTTATAAAAACCATAATATTGTCTAGTCTGTATCTTCAGTAACTTCAGTACAAGTCAGAGACGAAAACATTAACGCAGGATATGATTGGTCCGAGTTAAATATAGAATAATATGTTGGTAATGATTTCTTTAAGTAGGTATTATGTAAGATATACTCGTATTTATTTTAGTAATAGTGGTGGTTTTTAAAAAGGATAAAGTGTAAAATGCACAAAGTGCCCTCAACATTAGTAAGCATATTATGTCGTTAGTTTGATTTTAGATATATGGTATCTGAGCTTATTCTGTTTGACATAGACAGTGTGATAGGCTTTGAACTATAATATATATAATATACTCGTATAAATATTTATAATATTAGTTAATATTGATTTCAATAATGGTATCTACTATACATTTTGTTCAAAATAAACTCAAAATGAAGTTTACATTATTTAATACACGAATTAGGTATGACTGTATAATTATAACCGTTGATCGAGAATCAGATCTAGTCGGAGTGTCTAATATACATTCACATAAAATTTTCTCGAAAGAGCTCATATTTTACAAGGTGAAAAACTGTATGGGTACCTATAAAAACTGTATGGTTATATATTATTTCATTTAATATAACTTGAATAGACAACCTTGTAAAAAGATCAGGGTAATGTTAAGTTTAGGAATAAGACAAAAAGCCTTATTCCTGCATTTTATGAAGCATAGCAATAATTACGACTTAATTTTAATTTGTATTTTGTAATTAGGAAAATTTTCTAGCACATAGTAGTTTATTCGAAGTACATACAAGTATTTCATACAAAAATGTAATTGTTATAAGATAACGTTGCTGCCAGGACCGAGGGGTGTGGAAGTGTAGGGCGTGCACCGCACACAGGCGGCATTTTCAGGGGGGCGGCAAAAAAACGAAACATTCTCATAATTTGCATGTCTAATATATTATTATTATGTACTATTTTAGTAACATCCATTGATCGGTGTACGAAAATAAATGCAAACGTTTATAAGCTTCGACTTACCTTATTACCCGTTACCCGTTATGGAGGATTGGCTCGAGAGGAAAGACAGGACCCTCTGATAGCGACTGATCCGCAAAGAGCGCCAGTACAAACCAACCCTAGAGAGCCAACACGACGCTTCACACGCTAGCAGCTCTGTGCTCTCCGTGCTGTGCCACGATGTCAGTAAGGCCGGCCGGCCCATATTTAACCAGTTTTTCTCTGTGCGGATCCAAAGTTCGATGTGTCATTAAGATTGACCGGGATTTAGTATTAATAGCAGTTGTGGCTGATGATGAAGAAAGGAAATGTGAACTGACACGTTGAAAAAAAAGATTTTTCCTTGGAGAGTCATGCTTCGGCACAAATGGCCCGGCTCGACCAGAGTGTTCTCTTTTGTTGCTTTTCATTTAATGAGTGAGGTGATCGGAGCCCAAACGCCCGCGCCCTAGATTTGAGGGGGTGGGGTTGGAGGGGTTCCTGTGACGTTTGTGGCTCTTTGGCATGATAATCAGTAGAATAAAACCGCATGACACTACATGCTGCGGCGTCCAGCGACATACCATAATTGTTTAGAAACAGAGTGATATGATTTCTAAACTCGCTCAAACACCTAGCGGCGGCCCTGGCTGCTGCAGTCTAACAATTGTTTATAAATCAATTCCAGTTAAACAGTTCTTCTTTCTTTGAACTATTATAACTTTTTTGTAGGTACTCAACTATTAACAATGCAATGTTTGTGCATAGAAACAATTCTTGTTCGACAGAATAAACTACATATTTATTACTGTGTTAGATACAAATGTTCGATGTGATCTTCATATTATTGTGTAATGCGAGTAATATCGTAGATAATCTTA